AATGCCCATCACCAGTACTCACACCCCCACCAATGCCCCACCACCAACACCCCCACTACCACCACCACCATTGTTACTAGGACATAAATTTGTATCCATATCAGGATCATCTTTACAAATGCCATCAAAACAAGCAATATCCCCTTTACACTCATTATGATTTGAACAAGATTCACCACATGTTTTAAGTCTTGCTTCTACAGCTAGAATTAAACTTATAAATGCAAAGAATAAAATATAACTGTAAGCCATATTTAATCAATAAAAAATTTCAGATTGTGTTATGAATCAAAACATCTTTCTTTTATACTACAGCTAATTGTTAGTTCTTTTCATATTTCCTTAATATTATGTTGACACTTGTTTTCAAATAGAAATTTTACATAGCTTCATGGCATGTGCCTTAAAATCTAATATATAAAATACAGACACCAAATGGCTCATTATTAGAATATACTATTAGAAATATAAAGCCTTTAGCTTAAGCATGTAATCTATCTATATTACATGGCATAAGCCCTACTAGTCCATGGAGTGCAGTGAGAGCAATGAAAGTGAGATGGTCTCCAGCGATCCGCAAGGCAAGAAGGAGGAGAAGAAGGAGCAGCTATGAGAGATTAATGCAGACAAGCACGGCTACTCCCACAGTGTTTACTGGGTCCATGGCAATGTGTATCATACGAGAACTAAGTTCTTTCTCATTACCAGTTTCTTGGAAGGTGAGTGATAAAGAATTTTTCTTATCATCCCTTCCTCATGCATGGCAGTATTAACCGATGGTGCAAATTGATCCCAGGAATGGAGATGCAATCTTCTTTAGATCAATGCCTAGGTATTGTTTGTTACCCTTTATTTTATAACTTTTAAAGTACACCTGATCACCAACGGCCAGATGTTTTGAAAAATACTTGAAATTTATCTTCTTGTCGCAGAGCTTTGCCTAATCCAGTTGATAGATTCGTGGCGGCGGCGAGGAAGGCGCTGATGAGCTGAGCGCCAAGCGAACAGGATTCTGGAACATCGCTTCTAGGGTTTCATCGTCCGGCTTTGCTAGATGAGGAGCTGGGCCTTTTGCGCGATCGTCGTCCTGTTCCTACATTCCGTGCAAGCGTTGTCTTCGGATGGTTAGAGCTCTCTTCTCTGGGTCCTTCTTGTTCTCGTTCTCTCGCTATCTATCTCTCTACCTATCTATCTTCGTTTAACTGGATTCTTCTTATTCGCACTCTCTTCTCCTATCGCAGGGATCGCATTGCTCGCATTTAAAGAGGGCATACAAGAAGCGCAGTTTCTTCTCGGCGATTGGAGACGAAGCGATGCGACGCCGTGCAACTGGACTGGAGTCGAGTGTAATGGAGAAACTGGGCGCGTAGAGACTTTGTAAGTCTTGTCCCTTCCTTTGATCGCTAAATGAGCGTTTACTCTCGGCTAGAAACCTTCCTCGATTCCATCTGGTGGGAGTGATTTCTCCGGAGATTGGAAAGCTCAGCAAACTGCGAAGGCTGTAAGTTTTTCGTTTGTTCTTTCCGGACAAAAATATAGAACGTCTTTGAATGAACAGGGGATTGCATAACAACATGATCTCCGGTAAAATACCTCCAAGCCTTGGCAACTGCAGCGATCTACGGGCAGTGTAAGCTTAGCATTTTTTTTCTAGAGTTTTTGGAAGTAAGATTTCGTTGTACAGATACCTGCGAGACAATCTTCTAAGTGGCTCGTTGCCTGCGGAACTGGGGAGGCTTAAGAATCTGAAAGTGTTGTAAGTTTCTTGCTGACTTTGTTCTCTCATGCCTCTGGTTTTCACGAAACCAGGCTTGCTGCAGCGACGTGTCGGAGAACTCGCTCACTGGACCAATTCCAGCTTCCATGGAAAGACTAAACGATCTTGTGTTCTTGTAAGTTTTCCCAAGGAAAGAAAACACGATTGTGTTAATCCGTCTATCTCGAGTCTCGCAGAAACGTTTCCAACAATTTTCTTACTGGGAGCGTCACTGGTCTTGCAAAGTTTTCAAACAGATCGTAAGTTTGTATCTGCATCTAGATTTGGCTCTTACATGATCTCTCCAGTTTTTTCGGTAATCCCGGGCTGTGTGGGCAGCAGCTCAACAAGAGCTGTGAAGTTGGAAAATCGGTCAATGGTATGTCATCTCTAGATTTTTTTTTTTAAAAGTTCGAACATGAAATACAGGTTCTAAGATGTCAAAACTTTCGAGAAACCTGCTGATAAGTGCACTTGGAACTGTGACCGCATCGCTGCTCTTTGCGCTAGTATGCTTCTGGGGATTTCTCTTCTACAACAAATTCAACGCAACAAAGGCCTGCATTCCTCAGCAGCCGGAACCATCCGCAGGTCAGCTCCAGTTTCTTCTTTTCGCAACACTTTGGACTCACAAACTAATATAACAGCAAAGCTCGTTTTGTTCCATGGAGGACTACCGTATACACTGAAAGAAGTCATCACCAAGATCGAGCGGCTGGATTACAAAGACATAATCGGAGCTGGCGGTTTCGGAACGGTGTACAAGCTCTGCATGGACGAAGACTGCGTGTTTGCGGTGAAAAAAGTTGGAAGATCCAGCGACGGTTCCATCTCCGAGAGGCGTCTGGAGAAAGAGCTCGACGTCCTGGGGAGCATCCAGCACCGCAACCTCGTCTCGCTAAAAGGCTACTGCAACGCACCGACGGCAAGACTCCTTATAACCGATTTCATGCCTCTCGGAAGCCTGGACGAGCACCTCCATGGTAATATCATCTTCTTCTCTTTTGCCGTTTTTCTTGTTTCGAGCATCTTTCACGAAAACTTTGCGTCGTTTCCTGGCAGAGAGACACGCAAAGGATTCTCTGATGACATGGGAGGCTCGTCTTAACATAGCAATCGGCACTGCCAGAGGCCTGGGCCATCTGCACCACCGCTGCGTGCCTCCAATAATCCACCGCGACATTAAGTCGAGCAACGTACTTCTGGATAGGAATCTGGAGGCTTGTGTGTCCGACTTTGGGCTGGCCAGGCTTCTCGAGGAGAACGATTCCCAGGTGACAACAATCGTTGCCGGGACATTTGGCTATCTCGCACCAGGTACAAATAGTTTTTTGTTTCAAGCTCTTCTTCTCTTTCGTTTTCGTTTTCTTCTTCTTTTCTCATGCTCGAGAGATTGTTTTTGTGTTTTCAAAGAGTACATGCAGTCCGGGAGAGCCACCGAGAAGTCGGACGTCTACAGCTATGGCGTTGTGCTGCTCGAGCTTCTGAGCGGGAAGAGGCCAACGGACGTTTGCTTCACTGCCAAAGGACTCAACATTGTTGGCTGGGTACGTAAAAGAGGAAGTTTTTTTTTTCATACTCATACTCAAAAGAGTGTTTTTCTTTTCTTTTTTTTCTGTCTAGGCGAGTGCGATGATGCTTCAGAACAGGTGCCTGGAGATCTTTGATCCACACTGCCGAGGAGCTCAACTCGAAAGCATGGAAGCTGTGCTGGAGGTGGCGGCGATGTGCATCCATCCCCGGCCCGAGTGCCGTCCAAGCATGGCCACCGTCGCGGAAATCCTCCAAGAACATCACCACTCTCTTTGCTCCAGCACCGAAGAAGATGGATCCTGCGCTTCAGAGTTTTCGCTCAAGCTGTGAGAAGTCGCCATTCTTTCAAAGGTAACCTTCCAGATCATTGTAACTTTCAGAACAAAATGTTCCACAGTTCTTGGAGAATTTCCAAAGTTCTTGTGAGAGTAACATTAACTTTTATTTACTCTTGTTTATAACAAAAAAAAAAAAAAAAACGAAACGAAACGAAACGGGACGATAACTCCCACGGAAATCTCTTTGTTCTTTTGGTTCTCCACAAATTTACAGACCATTTTCCCCACAAAGCTTTGCCCGGCTTGCTTGCCTGCTTGCTGCTATATACAAAAATCAAAGAAATCGTCGTCACGATTCATCCATCTCGCGTGAGGCCGCCCGTTCTAGAAAAGAACGAAACGAAACGAGGAAGAAAACTTTAGAAGAGTGGTACTTAAAAGACTCCACCTCTTTTCCTCGCTTTCTCCATCTTTCTTGCTCTCTACTTTTCTCACTTCCTGGCCTGCTGTGCCTGTAAGATCAAACTCTTCCACCTGTTTTGCTTGCCTGCCATGAACAAACGAAAACTGGTAAGAACCCAAGCTCCGCTCGATCGATCAAACTCACTCACCACTTCAAACCGGAGAACACTCGATCTGCGGCTTCTTGGCCGACATCCTCTTCAAAAACTCGTAAGTGGTGATCATTGTGGTGGCGGACATGGACATGCTCGCCCACCTCGGCCCCAGCCCCCGGTAGCAAGCCCGCCACCCTCCCTCCATCACCAGCACCCTCAAAGTCTGCGAGATCGATGGCGGCGGCCTCCGGTCGCTCTCCAGCACCTGGATCCTCGTCTTCACGGTATCCAGCGGCGTCGTCACCAGTGCCGCGGCCCCTCCAGCGGCGGCGGCGCTGATCCCCTGGACGCAAACCACCGCGGCAGAGGTCGGCTCGGCGGCGCCACCGAGATAGCCGAGATGGCTCCAGATGGAGCGCTGCGTGACGCAGTAAGACGCCCACCACACCGCGTTGGAGGGAGCGTAAGTGAGCACCGACATTCCAAAGCCCCGGTAGAGACCCTTCACGCCATCGCTCTTGAGGATCTTGCGGAAGGCGTCGAAGCCACCCCGGTAGCGAGGGAACTCTTCCTTGCCTCCACCACCTCCACTACCACCACCACCATTTCTTCCACCTTGGACCATGAGTCTCTGGCTGATCACGTCCACCGGAGTCCACACCAGCTGCGCCGCCACCGCCGCGCTCACCCCCCCGGCGGCGTTGGCCATGGCGGCGGCGATGGGCTCCGAGAAGCCCAACTGGAGAGCTCCTCCGGCGACGTTGCTCTTGGTGATCTCCAGGGCGCTCATGTAGAGGGCGCGAGCGGGGATGGTGCCGAGGAGGGAGGTGCCAAAGCCGCGGTAGAATCCCCGGATGCCGTCGTGCTTGAGAATGCCGCGGGCGATGGATGTAGATGAGCTCCTCTCTGGGAAGACTTGCTGTCGCGTTTTGATGACGACGATCGGGTAGAGCATGGCGGAGACCCCCGAAAAGAGGCCGGCGCCCAGCATGAAGAACTTGGTCTTGTCTAGCATGTACCAGTCGACGTCAGCCGGGAGCCGGAGCTCCGTGTCGTGAGAATGTGAGGTTCTCAAGCTCATTGTCCCTCAAGAGGATCTCACTCCCAACTCTCCAAAAGGAAAAAACACCACCCGAAACGAAAATCCTCTTCCTCTCACGGATACCTCACTGGAAATTTCTACTCTCTCACCTCTAGCTCTTGGAAATTCTCTACGATGGGAGATCCTAAGACAAAATTGGGGAAGAAGCGTGATCGAAAGGAGAAAGAACGAAATTTCAAGCAAGGGATCAGGGAAGCAGTGAGTGAGAAGGCACGGAAAGAAGAAAGAAGAGAAAGCCACTCCAGAAAAACCCCCGGAGCGATTCCTCTCAACCCCCGACTTGCCTGGACGATTTCCTGCGGCCGCTGAGCTGCATTAAGAGGCTCATTACCCCGCCGCAGATCGACGCCATGGCCTCTCAAATCCGAGAGGCGATGCTGCGCTTGCTCGCCGCGATCAGGAACCCTAAAATCGCCTCTCGCTAGCCCTAAATCCGCTTTACCATTTTATCTAGACAATGAGCAAGCCCTAACTGCCGCGTGGCGGGATCTGACGGCGGAGATGCTCACACCTGTAAGAGACAATGACACGAAGGATTTTTATTGGCGGGAAGTTTGGGTCCGTACGGATAGAGGATATTCCCTCTGTACGGAGGGCTGGGTTTTAGGGCAACAGTGATCATGGCTGTTCTCTTTCCGGGGATCATGGGAAGGAAACATCTCTCTAGCTGAGCTTCGCGCGAGGGAGGGAGAGGGAGCGAGCGAGAGGATGATTGTGGAGAAGCCGGAATGGCTCCGTCACGAGGGCCTCCAGATCTTCTCGGTGGATTTCCAGCCTAGCGGGCAGCGATGCGCCACAGCCGGGGGCGATCACAAGGTATGTGTATCTTTTACGCAATCTCCACGCCCAATCCAGCTCTAGCGGCGCCGAATTCCTCAATCGGGCTTGTTGGGTTGGCTGGAAATCCCGGCAATCGATTTGGGTGCCGCGTGGATTGCGAGCCCAGCTCCCGGATTGTGGAGAGTTTGCTAGTGTTCTTGGCGTTCTAGCTCCCTCTCCCTCTTGAGGAAAAAACGCTCTAAATCTCTGGCAATGTAGGTGAGGATCTGGAACACGCGGCCGCTGATGAAGGAAGGCGAGGCTGATCGAGGCGGCGAGAAGCTGCTGGCGACGCTGTGCGATCACTTTGGATCGGTGAATTGCGTGCGGTGGTCGAAATCGGGGCTCTACGTCGCGTCCGGCTCGGATGGAAGCCTGGTTTTGATCCACGAGAAGCGCCACGGCACTGGCACGGTGGAGTTTGGAAGCGGAGAGCCCGCCAACGTCGAGAACTGGAAAGTTTGTGCGTCGCTCCGGGGCCACACTGCCGATGTGGTAAGCCTTTCTTCTTTTGCGCATCCTAAAGCTGATACTAGATTACTATTTCTTGTTTGTTCTTTCGCCTCTCTCGCCGGATCTTTGTTTCTTCTTTTCTGTTCCACCTCGTTTCTCGAGTTCGATCGATCTTCTCGTCTCTTTTCTTCGCTCTAGTGATTTTTTTTGTTTTTGTTTTTTTTTTTTTTTGTTGTTCTTCATTATCAGTCAACCTTTGTTTAGTTTATCTTTCAATAGTTCTCTTTCGGTCTTCTTTTACGTCTTTCATCGAGGGATCCTTATCCAAGTTTCGTCTGATTTGGCGAGAAGATTAAGTTCTCTCGCCTCATTCTTTTTTTTTCCTCCTCTCATCTTTGCTTTCTCGAACTCGATCTTCGTGCTAGCTTTCCTTCTCTTTCTTGGCAATGGCTTAAGCTCATTCCCTTTGCTTTCATTTTTCTTTCTTTTTTCTTTTCCTTTCTTTTCCTCGAGAAGGGTGATCGACTGTGTCATCAAAGAGTGATTTTTTTCCGTCCATCTTTGCCTTCTCGAGCTTCGCTCTTCTTGCTACCTAGCTCTCTGGAGCTTTGACATTTCTCTCTCTCGTGGCAATGTCCCTTTGCTCTCATCTTCTGTTCTTATCTTTTCCTCGACAAACGTGATATGCTGTGTCATCAAAAAGTGGTTCTTTTTCTTCCTCTCGCATGATTTTTTTTGTATTTTTTATTTCTGGTGATGGAGATGGAACTAATTGTGTCCTTAAAGTAGGTGGATCTTGCTTGGTCACCAGACGACTCGATGCTCGCGACGTGTAGCCTGGACAACACCGTTCGCATCTGGAAAATGCCTGGGGGATCCTCGGTCGCCGTTCTAACCGGACACAGCAGCCTTGTCAAGGGCGTCGCGTGGGATCCAATCGGCTCTTTCCTCGCTAGCCAGTCGGACGATAAGACGGTCATGATCTGGCAAACCAGCGACTGGGCCGCGGTCCATCGAGCCGAGGGCCCATGGAGAAAATCCGTAAGTTCGAAGTTTTTGTCGAGTTTTTCTGGAGTTGACAAGTTTTTTCTGATCTTGTGTCAAGGTTGGCTCTACGTTTTTCAGGCGTCTCTCGTGGTCACCTTGTGGCCACTTCATAATCACCACCCACGGATACGAGAACCCGAGCCACACTGCGCAAGTTTTGGAGCGAGGGGACTGGAGTGGAACTTTCAACTTCGTCGGGCACAACGCTCCCGTGGTGGCTGTCCGCTTCAACCATTCCATGTTTCGCAAGCAGCCGCTGCCACCTCCGGAGAACAACGGAGAAGAGGAGCTGCTGCAAATGGATCCGAAGAAAGTTCCCAAGGAGATGGTTCCTTACAACGTTGTGGCCATGGGAAGCCAGGACAGGAACATCACCGTGTGGACGACGGCGAATCCCCGCCCAGTTTTCGTCGGGAAGCATTTCTTTACGCAGAGCGTGGTGGATCTCAGCTGGTCAGTTGATGATCGTTAGATCAACTTTAATGGTTTCTTTTTGTTCTTCCTTCAGGAGTCCGGATGGATATTCGTTGTTTTGCTGCTCGCTCGACGGGACTGTAGCCAGCTTCCACTTTGAAGCCAAGGAACTCGGACACATAGTTTCGGAGAAAGAGATGGAGGAGTTTAGGAGGAACCGGTACGGCGATTCGCGGTCTCGGCAGGAGTCTCTCGCGGAGAGCCCCGCGCAGCTTTTCATCGAAGCCACTGCCGCGGCAAAGAAAGTTGGCAACTCTACCACCATCGTCAGCAACGGTAACACCACGAGCAACGTTAGCAACACCACGGTAGTGACACAGACTAACAAGCAAGTAGCGAGCACGACTTTGAGGCCTCAAGAGCACGAGGAGGCCGGGACGACAACAACAGTAACAACACCGAAGAATGGAACTTTGGAGAAAGATCAGGCAGCGGCAGTAGCAGTAGCGGCAGCTCCTCTTCCTCCACCACCGGCGAAGCAAACTCCAGTGAAGCAACGAGAGTATAGGCAGCAGGATGGGCGGAGGAGGATAATCCCCGAGGCTTTACACACCGAGGACGATGGTGGTCGAAAGGACCGAGAGAGCAGCGCCGAGAAGCGAAAGCTCTCGCCGGTTGACGCCTCCAAGTCGGAGGCTCCCTCGAAGAGATTGCTGGGAAGCGGCGGCAGTGGCGGTGGTGGCGGAGTTGGCGGTGTTCGTGAGCGGAATGGCTCCGGCGCGAGCAAAGCCATCGAAGTTTCAAGCATGGAGAGGTCACTGGGATTGAGTAGCACCACCAACACGACGGTGGCGATCAACGTGACTCAAGCGTCGCAACTTCGAGGCCCGGATGGTGTCCTCTCGGTCCAAGTGAGGATACCGGACGAGGAGAGCTTGGACGGTCCGGCAGTAGCTCCCATTTGCTTGGAGGCAAAGCCGGTGAGAGTCCAGGACGCGGCCGCCGGGAGGGGCGAGACTGGAGAGACCGACTTGGTGTGCTCGCAAGGTGGAGAGATCCGGTGGAGAGATAGATTTGCGGGCAAAGTCACAGCTCTCACTGGGAACACTAACTTTTGGGCCGTCGGCTGCGAAGATGGATCACTCCAAGTAAGATTTCTATTCTTCTCTTGTGTGTTTTGTATGGTCAAAGCTCGCAAGTTTTTTCTTTCTTTCTTCTCTTCGTTTAGATTTTTTCTTCTTTTTTTGCTGGTTCGTCTTTGTTTTTTTGTTGTTTTTTTTTTCTTTTCTCTTTCTCTTATCTTTTTTATTTATTATATTGATGCTTTCGCATTTCAGGTGTATACAATGGCTGGAAGACGAGCACTTCCAAGCATGGTAGTAGGCTCCGCCGCGGCGTTTATGGATTGTACGCGGGGCTGGGAGCTACTTTTGCTAACTCGAGGTGGAACCATGCACGTATGGGACCTCCGGCAATCACAATGTCTTCTTAACGAGTCTCTTCTCTCGCTCACCTTGAGCTCCTCGGCTACTTCTTCCGCGAAAGAAAATGGTAAATCTTCTTTATGGTCTTTTTTCGTCAGAAACTTAACGTTTTTCTTTCTTTTTTCTTTCTCTTTGTTATAGGTGTGATGAGAATAATCTCCGCGAGGTTCTCGGAAGCTGGTGCTCCATTGGTCGTTCTTGCCAATGGTCACGCGTTTTTGTTTCACTCAAAAATGAGGAGCTGGCTGAGAATAGCGGACGATTTCTTCCCTTCTTCGAGCTTCGTTAGCACTTGGCCACCCTCTGGCGATGGCGAGCTCGCGGGGCTTCAAAAAGGAGCGGCCACTCTTGGCAAGACAAACTTTAGCTGGAACAGGTTTGTTTTAGTTTCTATCACTGTTTTTCCGTGGCTAGAACTTTGAAGAATTTCCAGGACTCTAATCAATGAGAAGTACCAGACGAGAGCTCACCTCGAAGATCAACTAGCAGCAGCCCTGGCACTGAAATCCGCAGAAGAATACAAGCGCCATTTGATCTCCTACACGAGGTTTTTGACACGGTAAGAGTTCTTCGTGGCTTTAGAGTGATCAAAACCAAAATCTGTTTGAAACAGGGAAGCTGATGAAGTAAGATTGAGAGAACTTTGCGAGGATCTCTTGGGTCCTCTCTTTGTTCCAGACAGCGAGCCTTGTTACGACTCTCAGCCAACGACGAGTACATGGGAATCTTATGTTCTGGTAACCAAGAACACTTCCAATACATTTGGTTTTAACTCTTGGTATTGTTTTGAAGGGAATGAAGAAACGAGAGCTTTTGAAGAATGAGGTGCTGCCTGCAATGGCTTCCAATAGAGCTGTGCAACGTCTACTGAATGAATTCTTAGATATGTTGTCTGAGTATGAAGACACTCAGTAATGATAATTTTTTGGCTGGTTTTTAGATTTTTCACTTTTGCATTGCTATTGGAGGGCGATTACTATAACATGGTCTTTTGGTGCCCGAGATTTTTCCGGTTTAACTTCGTTTCTGGTTCCCCAGTTGCGTGCGTAAGCACACAGCCATGAAAAGGAATCCTTATGAATGCTATCGAAGATACCATATGTCAATCAGCTTGTAGACACCGCCTTATGAACTTTTTTTTCTGTTAAAAAGAAGTTAAGAAAATTTGCAGCTATTCTTCTAAGAATAGTTTTGATCTTTATTACCTTGAGTAAACACATTGAACCAGAATTAATGACTGAGTAAAATATTTTCAGTTAGAAAGCATTTTATGGGAAGTTTTCCTATTCATTTTTTGTGTTTCCCGCATCATTTCAAAATACTAGGAAAAATTTCTGGTTGAAAAAAAGAAAATCTTTTCGATAATTCAAAAAGTATACACATTTATCAAACGAGGTGACAGAGACTTTTGTGTAAGTCAACAAATAACATCTCCACCAAAGCCTGCAAACCATTATATAGTCCTATTTTTAGATCCACAACATTGTCTAGTCGTTGCTGAAATCTTGCTATGACAAAACATAGTACACTAATCTTGTTTTTCTTGATTTTTTTTGTTGCCACTATCAAATGCGTACCAGGTAGAGTTCCAGTTAACTTCGACAATCGCCTTCCGGGATTCCTCTCACATGCGGACATTGCACGCCTTATAACTTTCTTCAGAAACTTGACCTCAACATTTACTTTTGGTGGAAGCTATGGCCCTGGGGATGGTACTAGTGACACCGTAGCACTGGACGGGGGTGTAGTAGATTGCACAATTTCCATTCAGGATAGAAACCAAGGTGGTAGATGCTCAGCATCGCCTTCCAATGGTCGTGAAAGACCAATTAATGGGGTTCGAGCACTAGCCACCTTTGATTACTTACTCCATCAAAGCGCAGAAGAGATTAGCACACAATTATTTGGTTACCATAGAGCGGCAGTAGAATATTTGGGTGAAACATTTGTGCTAGAATACAGTGCGATGAATCCTTCAACTCCACCTCCTAGCCCTCCAAGTTCTCAAATCATCGCTTACGATTATTATAAGGATTCTGAAGTTCAAGAGGCTCGTTCAGGCTGTCTGTCAGTGTTTGAGACAACTTTATTTAATTGGTGGCCTCGTAACGTACTTTTTAGTGGTCAACAACTGTATTCTCCAAATGGGCGAGTTACACTGAGTCTACAAAGCAATGGCATCCTTGCTCTTTACAAGCTTTCGATGCAAAGCTCGCCTTTGTGGACTTCAAATTCTTTTTCAAACACAGTGGGCAATTGTAGGCTTGTATTGGAATACAATGGAAGCTTAATAGTATATGATGGAAACAATAACGTAATTTGGACGTCTAATTACAGTTGCAACTGTTCAATCCAACCATCAATTTTCTCTGTCCAAAACGATTGTAATATTGTCACTTATAAGATATCTAGTCGATTTGATAGTTCTCGCATCAGCTCTCCAACATGGTCTTCTGGGACTTACACAAAGTGTCACTAATGGTGAAATAAAAATAATTACTTCATAAAATTTGAAACGAAATAACTCTTTTTCGCAATCGGTCGGGTTGGCTAGAAATCTCATTTGGTGCCCCGTGGATTGCGAGCCCAGCTCCCGTATTGTGGGTTTGCTAGTGTTCTTGGTGTTCTAGCGCTCTCCCTTTGAGGAAGAACGCTCTAAATCTCTGGCAATGTAGGTGAGGATCTGGAACAGGCCGCTGGCGAGGCTGATCGTGGCGGCGAGAAGCTATTGGGGACGCTGTGATCACTTTGGATCGGTGAATTGCGTGGGGTGGCTCCAATGGAAGCCTGGTCTTCATCCACGAGAAGCACCGGCAGTGGAGCATCGAGAACTCCACGTTTGTGTGTCGCTCCGCCGATAAGCCTTTCTTTTGCGCACACGGCTTGAAGACTGGACATGCCTTCGAAAGACTACGGTTTGCCACTTAAGCCACTACTAAAAGATGTATCCAAGCTTGAAGAAGTGCAAAATGATTTTAAGCATCGTTTAGTAAAAACTTTAGATTCAATTTTTCTTTTTTCATTGGTGTCACCTCTAATAAGATTTTTAAAGTTTCACTAAAAAACAGAATATGTATTATCAATTTCCAGTAATTCAAAAACTTTGTGTTTTTGTCAAACCACATTTCTAAGAAAAGTATCTTCCACATGGTGAACTCATTTTTTTTTTCTAGATTTTCACATGTCTTGGGCATCTTTGATCATTGATATTACAATACCATCCAAACGCTCTATGCTTGTGAGCTTAACTTAAATTTTAAATATAATTTAATATAAACATTATAAACATTTAAAAATTAAAGTTTATAGTGAACCTTATTTTAATATCTCTTTGCATTTTATATTATCCAGAATTTAAATAAATACTACTTGCTAAAATAGGAAAGATCTATCAAAATTTAAAAACTATTAAGTTTGAATTAAGATTCTTTTTGCAAGGCCATATATCTATAAGATGCATGAATATTATAAGGATTATTACAAAAAGAACACTTATAAGTATATGAAATGAAAATTATGTTTTTTAGTAATTATATAAAAATAAAATTTTATATTATTGATAGAGAATAAATATAATCTAACTACCACTAAAAGTCTTTTGCAACTCAACAATAATAAAGCTTGTTTGGTGTATATGAATATCCATTTTAAGATCCTAGTGAAAGATGTTGATAAAATTATAATGCATTTAGTTGTGAAGAGCATATGCCTTCTTATGTTTCTTACATGCTTCATAAAATTTAGACATGTACAAAAAGGAAAGTTTTGAATAACAATTGTGTACTTTCCACCTTTAATTTTCACAATGTACTCATTTGCCAGCATAAAAATGTACTTTATGAAAAAAATCTCACACTTAAGTGTTTATAAGCTAAATTTATTTTACCCTACTTCTATTTGGAGATGGTACAAAATTGCTTTACCTTTTTTTGCTAGTGTATTATGCATCTTTATAGGAATAGTGTCAATTTTGTCACTCCATGTCTCCAACTTTCTTTCTTTTAAGATTGAAACTAGATTTTTCAAAGTTTTCAATTTTATCCAAAGTGAGTGTGATAAACCATTTTTTAAGTATTGCATTAGGTTTTGTCATTATAGTGTCATTAAGCTACTTAATATGGTTAATATTGATGTTGCAACAATATAACTAACACCATCTTGAAAATCCTATAGCTACTACTATTTGTGCAAGTGGACTTTCTTTTTCATCTGATTGAGTAATATCTCTATAGAATGTCCAACCTCAATGATGGAGTGAGGACAAAAGACAATTGTATTGAAGTGAAGACAAACAATATAAATTATTGAGCAAGGAAGAACATAACAAGTCTGAGTGAAATATCTAGTTAAGATGGAGTGAAGTTGGAGAAAATACAATGGTGGAAAGAGGCTAAATATAGATTAAAAAAATGAGAACAAACACAATAAATCTAAATAAAATTAATACTTTAAAATTTTTTCTCCTTGAAGGAGGGAATAAAAAGGATATAGAGTATGAATAAGTGAATCAAACCTATTATATATAGAAGATTACCAAAAGGTATTCAAATTTTTATAGATGATGCTAAATAGTGAATCTGAGTCAATAGTGGTTTTAAAGGAAGATGCAAAAATAGGTTGTATCTAAGTTAATTATAGTCTTAGAGAAGACAAAATTGAAATGTATTTTCTTGTTTCTTCTAATGGTGTTTTGTGGATTATAGTTTACTTTAAAGTCACTTACTTTGGTTAAAAGTTATGGCTTTAAGGTTCATTTAGCAATTATGCATAAGATTATAACACTAATTCATTAGGACTTTATAGTTAGCTGATTTTTATGCCATGGCTTTGGGTTCTATTGCTATCATGGTTGTTAACAATTATATTATATAAATTGGTGTTATTTTGGGAGTTTTAAATTCTTGGGGTAGTTTATAACAACCCAGATGTTTCATCAAACTTATCTTTATCAAATTTTCTCAGTTTTTGGAGAGGGGATGATATAAATTTATAAATACACATTTATTTGTATATGTATAGTATATGGATTGTTTTATTGAGATTAAATCTAGTCTATCCAGTCTTGAATTCAAGCATACCATAATTAATATAATTTTTATATCTCACACACTAAAATGTTAATATCATTTACTATTACTTCTACACTTGCTCAATCATTGATTTATGAAAGATTCATACATGAAGAAATAGATGAAGTCTCAAAACAGCCTTCTTTGAGCTAAGTCTAATGGATTAATACTAATTAATTTCTGTAAGCTTAAGGCCAAGTTACATATATCTAGGGAAGTATATATGGTACTTTTTAATAACAAAACTATTATTATGATTTATTTTGAATTATTTAAATATTAAAAATCTAAGGTGCAATAAAAACTAATAATTTTACCACTAAAAATATCTAGGCCCTTTTAATTTATATCTTTTATTCTGAGCTTTATTTCTTTTAGAGTAACATTTATTTTCATCTAGATTATCTTCTATACTTTTTGTGTTTCTTTATCAAAGTTTTTTACATAACTTATTCTTTCTTGCTAGTCTCTACTAACAAAGAAGTGTTATTTTAGGATTACATCTGCTAGTTTAATCTATATTATTATTCAAAAATAATATTTTAATAAGAAATTATTTTCATTTCACCATTAGTGGCACTTTGTATAAGTGCCAGAAGACCATGTCGGTGAGCTGGTGTGAGAACTATCAAATCGACTAGATATTTTATAGGTGACAATATTACAATCGTTTTGGACCGAGAAAATTGATGGTTGGATTGAACAGTCGCAACTGTAATTAGACTTCCAAATTACATTATTGTTTCCGTCATATATTGTTAAGCCTCCATTGTATTCCAAGACAAGCCTACAATTGCCCACTGTGTTTGAAAAAGAATTTGAAGTCCACAGAGGGGAGTTTTGAATCGAAAGCTTGTAAAGAGCAAGGATTCCATTGCTTTGTAAACTCAGCGTAACAAGCCCATTTGGAGAATATAGTTTTTCACCACTAAAAAGTGTATTATGAGGCCACCATCCAAATAACATTGTCTCAAACACTGAAAGACAACCTGTCGAACGGGCTTCTTGAACTTCAGAATTACTATCGTCATTAAAGATTACTTGAGGGCTTGGAGGGCTAGGAGGTGGACTTGAAGTATAGATAGCACTGTATTCTAGCACAAATATTTCATCTAAAAAATCTACTGCCGCTCTATGGTAACCATACAATCTACTCCTAATCACATCTTGGCTTTCATAGAGTAAGTAAGCAAAGGCGGCATGAGCTTGAACCCCTTGGATTGGTGTTCTACGACTATTGGAAGGTGATGCTGAACATCTATCACCTTGGTTCTCATCCTGAATAAAAAGGCTGCAATCTACTGTACCCCCCTCCAGGAGTAAGGTGTCACTAGTGGATGCCCCAGCACCAAAACTTCCACCAAATTGGAATGCTGTGGAGGTCAGGTTTCTGAAGAAAGTTATAAGGCGTGCAATGTCATCATGTGAGAGGAATCCCGGAAGTCCATTGCTAAAGGTAATTGGCCGTGCACCACCTGGTGGGCATTTGATAGAGGCAACAAAAAAAATCAGGAAAAAAAAAAAGATTAGTGTAATTTTTTTTGCCATAGGGATTTCAGCAATAACAATAAGACAATGTTGTGGATCAGGAAATAATGGTGTGCAGGCTTTGGTGGAGACGTTATTTGTTGACTTACACAAAAGTCTATGACACCTCATTTGATAAATGTTTAGGTTTAGAACCTTTAAATTGGTATGAACTATAGGAAATGACGATTTTGCGATTGTCCAAGAGCTCCCTTACACCTTAATCTTTCATGTCATTTTTCTTATTAGTGTTTTTGGCTTCACATTGGATCTTGAAAGTGGTTAAAGAATATGTCTCATTTGATAAATCGTGGAAAGATGGAAAAAGTTTTTACAAGCGCTTAAAACTTTTGTATGAACTATGGGGAAAGGAACGCTTGCCTCGCGGCTATGGAGTCTTGCCACGACCTCGCGACTGCCCAAGAGCTTCATTTCCGTCTCCAACGCCTTATGCGACCCAGAGGCGATGTCTACGCGCTCAACAAGGTGATCGACATGTATGGCCGGTGTGGTAACACGGAGATTGCTCGATGGATCTTCGATGGCATTCACAAGGATTCCTTTTCATGGGTGCTCATGCTCTGCGCTTACGCACGCAATGGGCAGCTTCAGGAGGCCAGAAGGATCTTTGAGCAAATGCCCGAGTACGATGTCGTGAGCTGGAACTCGCTTCTTGCTGCATATGCCCAAAACGGGCATCTTGACGATGCTCGGCGTTTATTCGAGGCCATGCCGGAGAGAAGTCTTGTCTCGTGGAATCTGATGCTTTCAGTATACGCGCTCAACGAGAGCCTAGATGAAGCAAAGAGATTGTTTGACGAGATGCCCGCTTGGAATCTGGTTTCATGGACGACGCTGCTTGCATCAAATGCCTTGCATTTCAGTCACAAGATCTTCGATCAGATGCCTGAGTATGATGTTGTTTCTTACAACGCGATGGTTGATGCTTTTGGCCAAAGGCAAAAATTTCTAGAAGCCAAAGACGTCTTTGATGGAATCCCGGAGCCAAACCTGGTATCTTGGAACACAATGCTTGCAGCGTATGCCCAATCCGGGCATACCAAAGATGCCGCGGACTTGTTTAAGATAATGCCAGAAAAGAATATCGTGTCGTGGACCATTTTGATGGTGGCGTATGGAAACACTGGCGACGTGGAATATGCTCGATTTTTGTTTTTGTTGATGCCCGAGTGGAATCTCATGACATGGAACGCTCTACTAGCTGCATATTCCCAAGGAGGGTATCTGGAAGAATCGAAGGCGGTGTTTGATTCCATGCCTTTCCAAGACTCGGTATGTCGGACAACGATGCTAGCAGTGTATTCTCGCCAAGGGTGTCTTGGAGAGGCTCAAGCTTTGTATAATTCCATTCCATTAAAGAGCGTGGTATCGTCAAATGCTATCATGTCGGTATATACCCAGTTTGGGCATGTTGTTCCTGCAAAGAATCTTTTCGACCGGATGCCGTGCTTGAGCATCTTTTCCTGGAACGTCATGCTTGCGGCATACACTCATAGCTCCAGATTTACTTCAGCTTTGGAGCTCTTTGACTCGATGAAGATCATTGAGAAAAGTTTTGATTCTTCTACTCTCCTCTTGGTTTTGATGGCTTGCAGTCGAGCCGGAAAAGTTTACAGTGGTCGATGTATCTTCGTCTCCTTGACCCAGGATTTTGGCATGAAGGCTACCAAGCAGCATTTTTGCTGCTTGGTTGATATGCTTGGACGGGCTGGGCATTTGGACGACGCCGAGAGTTTGGTTTCGAGCATGCCTTTTGTTCCCGAGGCGTCGGACTGGACTTGTTTGTTGGGGGCTTGCAAGAGTCACAGTGCAATGGAAAATGGAGCTCGGGTCACACAGAAACTTGTTGAGTTGGACCCCAAGTATGGAGCTTCGTATGTTTTGCTTGCTAATACTTTCTCAGCACATCCTAGAAAACAAGTTTTGCCGGAGCTGCACCCTGGTAAGAACAACTCCTTTTACTTTCACAATGTGGCTTTGACTTTTGTTTTCATTCTTTTCCAGACCAATGCATCCAGCTAAAGATTTTTATGCTGAATGAACCAGGTATAACCGTTTAATTCGCAGTTTCTTCTCCCTTGATCGAATTCTAGGCACGGGAAATTCACCAGGAACATGTCTCAAGTGTGTTCAAAACAAAAAAACATATCTTTCTAACACTTAAACTTTTCTTTGCAGCACGCAACTAGCATCTGGAAGCTCATTTCTCGACTGACGTGCCGCGTCCCTTTTATGCGCAAACGAATTATCAAACGCGGATTCATCCCTTTTATGCGCAAACGAATTATCAAACGCGGATTCATCCCTTCAGGTATCTTGTTCCTTACATTGAGAGAACACCTCGTCAGATTCCTTGGCTAGCTATTTAGCACAAGGAGACAAACTGTGTGTCGGCATCTAACACTTGCTTTGTTTGTGGTCGCGCCAGGCCGAGAAAGCTCACAGTCACAAAAAACATATGAACCGTGTGGATTCCAATGACTTGCGAGGAAAAAGAAAAAGAGGATGGTTGCTGTAAAGCTTGACAAAAGCCCACCCGTGATGAAAAGCGAAGCTATCTTAGCTCGTCTTCACACACGACCGATCTACACGTACTGCCTATCAAAACTCCGTGAGTGAAGGTGAGGAAGAACTAACTTAAGCCACCATTCTTGTTTTAGAGGTTTCTTGGATGAATCGTGTACTCAAGGAATATCTGCTCTCTGTACTTCTAGGATGCCATTCACGAGGCGTTACTGCTCAGCCAAGCATTTACTTTCTTCATGTACACTCAAATATAACATCTTGGCTCTTGGTAGATGCAAAGGGATCTTCTACAAGCTCTTTTACAAGAGTTTTTACAAGAAGTGGGGCAGCCGCTACTTTCACAAGGGTATGAAGTTATCCTTTCGTTTTTTTCTGTTTTTTTTCTTGGACCTGTTTGAGTTCTTTGAGCCACATAGACAGGAGTTATGATATTCCACCATACGAGCGGAGTCACGCTTGTAGCTTTTCTTCCTCTTTTGAGTTTGCCAAGTAAGTACTTTACTCCAGTTTCAAACGCAGGATTCAAGAGAGATAGGATCCATTTACTAGACACGCTTCGTTTCGTTCCACAGGTAGAATACCACACTGTACAGAGAGGAAAGGCGTGCGTATACAGAGAAAGTCTCTACGTACGAGATGACAAGGAGTGGTAAGTGGTTTCTCGTTTTTCTTCCATTTTCCTCCCTGTGCTCGCTGTGCGAGTGTGCGGCTTGTCCCAAATTCTTAGTGACAGAGGCAGTCTGTGAGAGCGCTGAGCCCCCAGTCCTTGTTGTGTTATTCTCAGCTTTTAAGATCTGGAACACAGGCTCTAGTGTGCATTAAAGTCACCTTTGCACTACACTACACCTCCCTTCTCTTCTTCCTGGACTGGCTTCAAGGAGAGACTGTTTAGTCCTTGACTGTGTTGTCACATTTATTCCCATTGAAAGTGAGAGCCACCAAAAGAAAGAGAGGTGAAGCAAAAAAAAAAGGAGCTCTCTTTTCCTCTTTTAGTTTCCTCTTCTTCTTCCTTCTTCTATTTCTTGCACTTCAAGGATTGCGAGGCTGTTTCCATCGAAGCTTCATGGATGGCGATGGGATCCATTAGAAAACTATACGTGGAGGGCGGCGAGCATAAACTCTCCACTCCAAACCGATCTAAGTTTTCGTGGATTTTGTTTTGGAACATTGACTAAGCAGCAACACCACATGACACATGACGAGAACGTCGTGTGAGGCGTATGTGACAACGAAACCAACAAATCGCACAAGTAGAGAGAGATGGATATTATAGAACTATGATCTTATAGTGACTGTGATCTTATAGCAACTCTTGTTTAACAAGGTTGGGGTCCTCCTTCTCTTCACTCGACATATTAGTGCCTCGATCCAGCAATTTGCTGCTTGACTTTGAAGATGGGCCAATGCGTTTTTCTATGATTTCCACGCTCGGACCCCTCTTTCGTCGTGTTCTATGTCAAAGAGGAGAGAAAGTTGGATCAGTGGTCGATTCCAAGTTCACAAATATTGTCCCACATTGTGCTCTGAGCTTTGTTCTTCTCTCCACGTATAGAGGTACTGCTAGATCCTTGTGTACGTATATATATACATGGGGTTATTCAAGTAAGCACATGCGCCACCATCTCTATGCACTAAACTTTGGAAGCTTTAATAATTGTTTTGATCCATGTTGACGTAATATACAGGAAAGGGCCTTGCTTTTGTTAGTGGCAATTCATCTCTCTCGATCATCGACCAACGGCACATGAGAGCTTTTCTAATGGTTTGTTTCTCTGTTTTCTATATATTTTGTGTGTGTATCTGGTCAGCGGTCAGGCCTGATTGAGAATTTGACCCTGAAGAAAGAAATTGTGTAATGAAAGAACGGCAAATGCCCCCACCTGGTAACTTGCTTACAAGAAGCAACGGAACATATATACTTGAAAATGGATGCATGTGGGGCATGTGAGGCAATAAAATTTTGTTAGTTCTGTTGTTTGATCGAAAAAGTTTTGCGAGAAAGTCAAAACGGGACGAAGATGCACAGTGCGTTTTGCCCAAAGTTGACGAAACTACCATCTTATAATGATAACACTAAAATTTTAGAGGGAGGGAACGTAACCATGCATGCATCATGGATTCTATGTAGAAGTAAATAAATAAATAAGCGGACTATACGTAGTTATAAGCAAAAACAGATTACTCTTATTTTTATTTATTTATTTTAAAAAAAACATTTTTTCTATGTTTTTCTTGCTATATGATCATGTCTGGTCATTGCCTTTATCAACCGCCTAACGAACAGGAAAGCCGAAAAGGGTCCCACTGGATAGTTTAGCAAACATTGGTAATTGGCTGTTGTTAGTTTGTGGCTTGGCATGGCATGCTTGTTTTGTTGGATAAACCCACCAAAAGGTTAACAAAGAAACTTGGAAGGCCAGCCGTTTTGTCTGGAGATCTTTGTTCCCAGTGGGCAGCATTCGATGGAATTCGATATGATCATCCAATCCAGCAATTCAGTTGGAAAGTTGTCGTGCACGCCAAAATGCCGGGGCGCGGCAAAATTCCCCTCCCTTGTTTTTTCCTCTCCCCGTTTCTTTCCTCCCTCACCAGCGAGGATTAGTTTGTTGTGTTGCGGTAAACTCTAGCGAAACAGTTTGGTGTGACGAGGACAAAGTCATGGTCTTAATTTTCTTTGTTTTTCTTCTGTTAGATCAACCAAAAGGTGAAAGCGCGTAAATTTGGATGTGTGTGTGAGAGAGTGAGAGAGATAGAGGGGGGGTGGGGTGGGGGCATTTTGTGTGCATGGTGTGAGCGGTTTTTTGGGGATGGAGACATAGGAACCGACCAAGAACAAATGCCGGCCCAAAACTTATCTTAAGAATAGTCATTAATAACACAATTATATGTCTATAATATGAGAAAATGAATCTGTCATAGAAGGCAACTTTGGAAATCCTAGGTAGCACTCATGGTGTTGTGATGGAGAGAATGAACCTGGCCACCACAGCAGCAAGGTCTCCAAATGCAAATGCCTAGCTAAGAATCACAAAAAACACACACCAAGTGCAATGAGCAATCTAGTTTGGATTTGGATTTGCCCTTTTCACCACCCCAAAACCAGATCCATTTGCCAGGGCCACCTTTTGTTTCTCTGGGAGTTTGGGGATCTGCAATGCAAAAATGTGAGGCCTTTTTTTTATATGATTTTTTTCGTTTTTCCTGATAGCAGTTTTAGTTTTGTTAAATGTGATTTAACCGTGGCACGGATACGTGTCGGCTTGTCTCCCCCAATAAGTCTCAGCTCCAGCTCTGAGAGAGAGAAAAAAGAGCGAAGTAAATACACTCTCTTGCTGTTCTTCCCGGAAGTGCATCTATACTTATACGCTGCTCGATTCCTTGTATAGAGGCAGTATATTATAAGTGTCTATATATTATAGAGCTCTTTCCAAATTCCATTCTTCTCCTGGTGTAGCTTCCAGCAAATATTGAATGAGGAATGTAGAGGTACAGGACGGGATCACCAAGTGGAAGAAGATTACAACCCTGCCTCCTCCTCTCTATCTTGTGGATTAGCCTCGTTTTCCCCTCTCCCGGCTGGATCCATTCTCGCACCGTGTTCTTGGTGTCTTACGTTTTCTTTCTCTTTTACTAATCATATCAATCCGCAAGATCTTCTTCGCTCTCCCAAATTCTTTCTTGGGTTAGTTAAGCAGCAGCTCCTGATCATTCGAAAGAAGAAATCTGCATGAAATCTGGGTGAATTTTGCCACAACACATCCCACTTTCCTCCATTCCAACACCAGATTTTTTCTTCTTTTTTTTTTCGTTTTTCCTTTTTTCACACATGTTGGCAGTTTGATAATTAGCTTCTGCTGCGTACTGCGGCTGCACGCTGCTGTCCTCCTGCGCGCTGCTCTCGCTGCTCGCTGTGTTTCCTCTGGGCTGTGGAGATTGCGTTATAAATACACCACCCCTTCGTTCCTTTTCCTCTCCTCCATAGCTTTACAACACTCCTGCTGCTGTTCTTCATTCCCTCCATTCAAAACCTTCTCTGTCGAGTCGAGCGAGTCGAGTATTCACCTTTGAAGAATCAAAAGGGGGTGGTGATCGGGGAGAGTGTCTTTCTCTCTTGCAGCTTCTCTCCCAATCCTGCTGCTGCTGCTGCTGCTTCTCACTGGGGGGAGAGATTCGCTTGAGATTCTTTCAAGATCTCTTCACATTCAAGGGGGGAGAAAGGGATTGATTGGGATCCCTGTGAGAGTGATATAAACTCTTATATATACTTCCCCTCTCTCCCTCTCTCACACACGCATCTGTATATGTGTTTTGCATGCATGGCCACAATCAATTGGTTTCTGGGAAGCAATCAGGCTGCTGCTCCTGCTCCTGCTTTCTGCTTTCTGCGCCCTGCTGCTGCTGAGAACTACTCCTGAGCATTAGAGAATACATGCAGAGAGATCTTTGTCACCAACAACACACAAGGCTGCTCCTTTTTGTTCCTGCCATCTCTGTGTGCTTCAATTGCAGCACTGCACTCTCTTCTCTCTTTTAAAGACTCTCACTTTCTCTTCCTCTCTCTCTCTCTCTCTCTCTCTCTCTCTCTCTGTCTCTTCGCTCTCTTGCTTTTCCTCTTTCTTTTGCCTCCTGCTTCTTCCCTTTCCCTCTCACTCACATTCACACCCTTCAGCAGAGAGGCTTCAAACAAAAACAGCAACAAAAGCAACAGGCTAGCTATAAGCCAGTGGTTGAAGTTTGTTGGCACTTTTGTTTGGTTGTTTCATGCCAAAAGTTTGATGATAGCTGGCTGTGCATGCTGATCATGATATAGAAGCACCCAGGGAGGCCAAGAGAGAAGAGGCTCAAGTTCCAACAAAGTTTATAGCACCAGAAAAGAAAAAAAGAAGAAAAAAAGAAGGAAAAAAGAAGGAAAAAGGAAGAAAAGAAAAGAGCGCTGCTTGATCATAGGATTGAAGCGCGAGTTGTCTTGGCAAGATCCAGCTGCGGAGAAGGAAAGATAGGAGAACCGGATACAACCACCACTCGAATCTCTTCGTGGGATTTGGGAATATCTGGATTGGAATTCTCGGCTCTCCTCGTTGTTCGTCGCTCACCCTTTTCTCTTTTTGATTTTTCTCGTTTTTTCATTCAGCTCAGATCCTCCTTCTCTCTTCTTTAATTTCTTTCTCTTTTTCTGCTATTTCTCTCTCTCACTTACACCATCTCTTCCTCCAGCAAGAAAGAAGGAAGAAGCTCATCTGAAGTTCTCTCCGTTGCTCCTTTCGAAAGGCTTTGTGACAATGTCAGGAGTGTGGGTCTTTAGGAATGGTGTTGCTCGCCTCGTCTCCAATCCGCTCATGGAGCCCATCGACGGAGGCATGGAGCCAGTGGTGACGCGACGAAAGGTGCTCGTGCATGTCCCCAGCAACGAAATAATCTCCTCGTATTCGTGCCTGGAGCCAAAGCTCCTGGCGCTGGGATGGGAGCGATACCCGCTCGAGGAGCCCGACCTCATCCAGTTCCACAAAGTCTACTCGGTGGATCTCATCTCCTTGCCCGCCGATTTCTCCAAATTCAAGACCATCCACATGTATGACATTGTGGTCAAGAACAAATCAATCTTTGAGGTTCGTGACTACTTCTCCTCGTCTTGATCAACGATCCTTCTTCCATTCTTTTTCTTCGTTTTCGCTTTAGCTCCTGTAGTTCAAGTAGTGTTCTACTCTTATCTCCAAAAGGCCAGCACAGATTTCTCTGGAAAGAAAGAAAGAGAGAGTGAGAGATAACAAAACAAAAATCGAATTTCTCCCGAGCAATACGATATACCTTGTTTCTATTCTTTGCTTTGAATCTCTTGTGGAAATGGAATGTTTTTTGTAGCACCGGCTGCTGCATATACTTAAAAAGAGGACTCAAACACTCTTTTTTTCTGCTATTTTTTCACTCATGGTCAACAATCCCGGGAAAAAACAAGACCCCAAAACATCTCGCATGTGTTTCCATAAAAGCAACTATCAAACACACTCGCTTCAAAAGAACGTCGTCGAAAGCTCGCTTCAAAAGACTCTCATAAAGAAAGATTTGTTCTTGCATCCGGAGACTGGCGTTAATGTGCTTTTTTGTCACGTATATATTATATTTTCCTATAAAAAAAAACTATATTGGTTTTCTCAGACAGTCACGGACATTTCCAAACCATTAACAAAAAACAAAAGCAATTAGAATATATAGAAAATCCGAAACAAAAAACGTTTGATAAGGTTCTTGCCAATGACATGCCAACGTCCATGGACCATAAATTTATTCAGCAACAGCAAACATTTACAAAAGTTGGTAGGATTTTTCTCTCGGCCAAAACATGTTCCAAAACAATAACTATTCTTATTTTCTTCTCCTTATTTGTCAATGCAACGCAATGATCACAAGCTAGAGCCCTCAAATGATCAAAACCCTTCAAAGCAAAAAGAACTATCTGGGATGATATTAGCACGCAGTGCATGCATTTAGCAATACGAGATTTATTTCCTCTTTACCAAATTGAGGTGACCATCACAAACAAATCCCAATCTTCTCTGGATCATAAGTTTCATAGATACATAGGTGCACATGATAAAGCTAAGTTGACTATGGGCACCCAGCAGCCGTGGATACGCCACCCATCAACGGCTCCAGCACGTCCTACGGGTGCTATACGGTCCGTATGGCACCAAAGAACGTCAGCAGCCCGGCAATCCCAATAGCAAAAGCTGGCCTCGCATTTAATGTGCTGCCGGCGTGTCCTGACTGGTATCTTTGTGTTAGGTGTCAAGCAGTCTTTGGGTAAGACAAGCTTAAAACATTTGCCCAGTTGGGGCATTTGCAGTACATGGTCCTTTCTCTAGTTTTTTTTAATAGTTTTTAGAGTTATATTATTTGTTTAAAATCATATGTACAAAGATTGCAACAAAATCTTTGCGAGCTTTGGGTCTCTCGATCACATTGCATAGAACTCGAGAATTGGAAAGAGTGGGAACTTTAATGGTCTTCCAGGTGATACTTACCATGACAAAAGAAAGCTTCTAACTCTTTCGCTATTCTTCCAGTGTTTCTCTACAAACGTTTCTTCTTTTTGTCCAATTTGGTATGGTAGCAAATTCCGCGCTTGGGCATTTTGGATACTTTCTTTCCTTGGTTTTTCTTTTCTTTTCTTTCTTGTGACGCTCACTGCAACAAAAAAAAAAAAATCTCCCGCTCGCTCCTCCCGGGAGAGAGCTTTTACTTCTCAAAACATGGAGTTGTAGGTGAAGAGCGTAGCTACCACAGACACGATACCGATGACAAACGTTGGGAAGAGCGTTGCATTGAGGAGCTTGTCTTCTCGCAAATACCCCGCCACAGTTATGGTTCCATCCGCAATAACACGGGCCAGTGTCCCGGCCTCCGTCGACAGCAGCCCGCCGTTAAAAGTCCCTCGGGCGAGCCTCGATGACATCACCTTGGACAGCAGCGACAAGTTCACACCTAGAACAAGGAGAAAAACTTAGAAAATTCGCAAGCAGCCAGGCAAGACACACAACAAAGTCTCTTCCCTTCCAAGCGACTCAACCGACGAAGAAAAAACTATGAAAGCTTACCTTCGAGGACCTCGGCCGAGACAAAAATAAGCACCGCTCCCGCGATGTACTGTACAATTGTGTAGCGGAATGGCCCGGAGAAGCTGACCAGCACTCCCACGCAGGTGAGTATCTCCGCCGCTAGAAGTATTTGCCTGGAATTAAAAAGCAGTTGAATCGTCCCAGTCAAGAGAACCAGCTTACCGATCCTCGAAGATGTTGCTCAAGCAGCTCCCGACGACTGCGTTCACTGGCAACACCGTAAGACCCAGCAAGGCGAGGAAAATGGCCACGTTTCTTACGTCCCAGTGGAAGTAGAATGACGTGACAACACTTGATTCTGATATCAAAACCTCCACAGCGTACTTGAGCATGAAATATATGAGCAGTTGCACCTGCAAAATATATAGTGTCAGCCTTTGTCACATTTGCTTAGAAGCACTCACCTTGACTGGGAGTGTGAGGAGATTGTACGCTTCTCTGATGGAATTCGCTGGCTGCTTGGAATTGTCTTCAGAGACTTCATCCTCTTCTCTTTCTCCTTCCACATCATTTTCGTCCTCTATTTCTGTTTCCTCTCTGGAGTCGTAGCTAGAATTCAGCGGTTGCAGCATTCCCTCCTCGGCATCACTTTGTTCTTTATGCTTTTCATTGGCAAAACCGTTATCTGCAAACCATGGAAACCGTGTAAGCAGCAAAATAACAAGGTGACGACAGTACCAATAGCCAGCCTCGACTGCCCGCCGCTTGTTGATCCGTCAACCTCGATTGGACGTGCAGGTTCTTTGAAAGAAACCCATAACCACGCCAAGTAGAGAATCCAGCAGATAGCCATCGCCCACCCAGGCAGTGTGTTGGCATTAAACGTCATTCCCACGAACTTCTTGTTGAACTCCAGAACTCCTGCTAGAGCTGGACCTGCAGCCATCCCCAAGGCACTCGCACTCACAAATCCTGCCGAAGCTTGCAGGCGTGATTTTAGAGGCACGCAGTCGCTGATATACCGCCTGTTTACCGCTCTAGCAGAACCCAGCCTACCATGCAAATGAAGAAACAGGGCGGTCAACAATGCTGATCTTAAGTGAATACGTACCCACAAAGAAGACGTCCAACCAGCAACAGACTAAGCGAATTGCAGTCGTAAGCAACTGCATAGAGCAAGTTCCCCATGAAGAGCATCACACTACTGAATATGAGAGGCCGAAAGTAAGAGGTGTTCGACCATGCACTGAAATACACAGAGGATACCAGCTGAGCTACAGCCATTGCTCCGATTATAACTCCGCACAGTGTTGGCGCAGCACCCATGCTCAGGGCATACTTGTCAGCCGTTGGAACGATGATGTACGTGTTCACCTGCAACCATGACATAAGTTTGTGCAAGTAGATACCGGCACCTCACATACCATGTACAAGAATGTGTTCGCGAGGTTGAGGATAAGAGACAACAAATGGTACTGCTCTTCCTGAACGTCCTCTTCACCGGGAGCTCTAGGAAACTCATCTTTCATGAGCATTGCATGCTGTCCAAGGAACTGAAGGAAGTTCGTGGAATTTGTCAATCTTTCTTGTGCTGCTTTTATCGACTCAACAATCGGTAACTAGAACCATCGAGTCAGTGTGTGGCGCATATAAACAAACAGTCTTACTCGAGCTGGAACATCAGGATAGTCGTAAATGGAAGTCAAAGACTTTCTATGTTCCTCCAACTCTGAAAGGTTTCGTGTCAGAGCTCCAACCATTGCTCCGATTCCCTGAAAAAAATTCAAACACGTCACTGAGTGAGGGACCGATCTGAAAGTAATGGAAAACAAAGATCCAACACTAACCACGTGTTTGAAAACTTGTTGCAGCTGCGAGTATGGATGATTGGAGCGGCTGGAGACGTAGTAATCCGTCAGCCTGTACCCAATGTGCTTATCAAATTTCTTGAGAATCTTTCTCAAGCCGATGGCGTTCACTTCCACAAAGTAGAGCAGCTTGAGCAGATCCTTTCCAACATCATTATAAGCGTCGCGAAACCTGTCTCTCCAATCCAAATCCGCTGGTTGCTCTTTCTCACACCTTTCTCTCTCGGCTCCCAGCTTTCTCAGCCTCTCAGCCAAGTCTCCTTGCCTCACGATGAGGAAGAGAACAATCTTCTCGATCTACATTGAAAAGCAAAGTCGCTAGCTTTAGCTCGGTAGTAGCAACCAAAGAAACAAAATCCAAGTTCTTACCTGACGATCAAGCATGGACGAAAACTCCTTGAGAACTCGCTGTCGGTCTTCCCTGGTATTGAAATCACCGTGCTGCGAATAGTACTTCACCTTTTTCTTCATCATCTTGTAAGAAATGTAGTAGCTGGAAAGAAAGAAATCGTTGTTAACAGCGTCGAGCGATCGAAGACTTGAGGCAAAAGGCTTACTCTTTCCATTCCGAAACCCGCTGCTCTCGCAGCTTCTTCCCGAAAGCTACCATAACCGCCTCCTAGCTACGCGCATTCGATTCAGCTCACTAGCATTCGAATGCGGCTAGATTCTTACCTTGTAGCTGGTCCGACCCGATCGAGGCGCGCGCCGTCGCTCGCTTCGACCGATCGATCGATCGCGCGGGAGAGAGCGCGTATTTTACATTATAAGCCCTATATTGTGACCTAAATCCTTAGCATTTCCCGGCTATTTTTAGCCAAGCAAGAACGAGGGGCACGTGGACGATTAATAAACAAACACGTGTAAACATTGCCACGTAGTCCAAGGGGTCGCGGCGTTTCCACACCGTTGTGAACACTTAATACTTGCTCGCCAGTGTAAGTTTCAGTGCTGTAGTTTCTTTGGAGCAGCGAAAGAAAGAATGTGTAAGTGTCAGCTTGATCGTGAGATCGACCAAGTAGATAGGAATGGATCTTGAGACTGTCTGGAAACCTCTGTGGATGCAACAGCGATCAAAGGAGCGAGTGGTAGCAGTACCTATAAGCGCTCGAGGTACACAAGGCCTGGACCAAAACGTCCATTGGCTCCTTATATGTTCTTCTGCAAGGCCAACCGGAAGAAGGTTGTAAAGCAAAATCCAAGCGCTACCTTTGGGCAGATTGGTAGACTCCTTGGAACCCGGTGGAATGGCTTGACACCCAACCAAAAGAAGGTAGGCACTTGGATCGCTTGGAGATCGGCTATTCATTCTCGTATCAAACTTGACGATGGCAGCCATACCAAACGAAATCTGCGCACGACAAGAAACGGTACCACAGGCAAATGAGAAGGCGTCGCACAAGGCAGCAGGCCAAGTACCTGTGAGGACGAGAGCGGGATGGATTTTCGTTGGCGAGCGACACTCCGATGATACAGATAGTAGCTGCATGGAAAAGCATGCGTGTTCTAGGATGATATGTAGTGATAAAAGAAAGAACGAAATCACCTGGCTCAGTGGATGTATGTCTCTTTGCACGGTTTTCTTTTCTTCTCCATCTTCTTCCTTTGCGTTCTAGCCATCCTCAGCAGTTTCTGAGGACTCACATTTTGAAGCTGGCAAAGCAACAACAAAACAACATGAAAGCGTTTCGAGGATGATGAAGCTTCTTACGCTGCGCTTTCTTTTGTATGGCTTTTTAACCGGTACGTCGACCTCTGGGGGAAGTTGAATGTCGGGCTCGTCCACTTGAGATTCTCCAATCTCGTTAGTTTCAGGTAATGCGTCTAGTGTCACGTATCCGAGTCTTCCCGATCTGAACAAGCCCACTACTCTTTTAGCTGTCTTAAACGTGCTCACCGGCTTGGTTGTAGTGGTCTGGAAAAAGCTCCAGATCTCCCTCAGTTGCAACTCAACCAGAATTTCCATCTCATTCTCGTTTCCCGGGTCTCCCTCATAATTCAATCGAATTTCGGAGAGAATTCCCTTGACTTCGACTGTGTACTTGCTACGTTCCATTTTGCTCTGCAAGGAATCAAAAGACAATGGTGGTAAACATGCATGAAATCTTGAAAAGTACCTTTTCAACTCCAGTGTGAGTGTCTTTCGGTTGCGTCGTAAACTCCAGAGTGCGAAACTCATCCCACCACTCCTGAAATGGATGTGGAGAAGAATTCCACAACACCAAGCAGTAACGAACAAGTTGTTCAATCCCAACAACGTCATAATCCATAGCGCCTGAAATATCATTCAGTTCAGGAGAAATAACAAAGAAAAGATGAGGAACTTAATGGCGGACCGATCACAGCAAGGTTCATTCCAAGCTCCGCGTCAGTAATACTCGGATGCATTACTGAGGGCGTATCCAAAATGTACATTGGAGGAGTATAGTTTATCTGCGTCATTGTGTCAAAGGATGACCAGGAAGAAGCAATCAAAAGCACACACCTTGTAGCCGCGAATAGATTCGGTTAAGTATGGACTGGGACCGACAGCAGCCAGTGTCATCTTCTCAAGCGCTGGAATTAATATCAGCATTATCTCAGCAAGAGCACTGACGAAGCGGCAAAAGAAGTACCCGATATGTTGTAGCGGCCAACTCGATGTAAAGTATTGGTAAGGACAGATTTTCCTACATTTGGTAGACCAGCCAGCATCGCCAGAGTTGTCCGCTCGGCTTTGAGTGCACGAAGAATCGAAAACTTCACTTTCCTTACCATCTACAAAGAAGAAAAAAAAATATTCAAAGAAGAAAAATGGAAAAGAAAGACGTACGATCTTCACGGAAAGTTTGTTGTGTCCATTGACGAAGACGTAGTTTTGTTGGCGCTTATGGAAGTAGAGCTTCCACGCCTGAGAAAGAAAAAAAAAGAAGAAAGAAAGAATCGTTAGAACAAAAAAATTCCCAGGAGTTTCAACCTGGATAGTCTCGGGATGGACAAGATCGGCCTTGTTGAGTACGATCAGATGATGCTTCCAGCTCAGAACCCTATCGTAGAGCTCCTTGTGCGCTGATCCCAAGGGCAACTGCTAGAAAGATCAAATGTAGCTGCAAAACCCTTGCTTACCCGCGCATCGCGAACCTCCAGCACAATGTTGGATGCCAGCGCCCTGTGCTGGAGCTCTTGGATCAGAGGCGCCGAATCTGGAAGCTCCCAGCGAGCGGGCGCTAGCTTGAGCGCAAGATTTCTCCGCATTTGTACCAAAGCCATCCCCTGTTTGAGAATTAGGGTTTTTGGGCAAACGTACTCATATTGTTAAGATTTTATCCTTTACACATTAACCCAATTGGCCATGATTGTAAGGCCTTTTTTTTATCCTATTATCCTGACTTAACACTTATGCTTGGGCTTGTAGCATTTTGGTTAGCGCGGATCATGCTGTGATATCATGTGTTAGATCAAATCGAAGCGCATCACAGAAGATTTAATCTGGATGAATCAAAGAAAAATACAGAAGTTGGAATCCTTGCCCTAAATTTAATCAACAAATCAAGTTTGGTCTAATGATCTAAAGGTTTTATATTCTTTCAACAATCCGTGTCCGTATCAATCTTCTTTTTCTTCATTCTGAGTTGCGTCCTGGTTTGCGGGCTGTTGTTTGTCTTCTCCTGAGTGAAGCTTTCGCACGCCTCTATGAACTGGATAGTCTTGCGGTTTGTGGAGCGGAGTCTCATCTAGCATTCGACAAGAATCCTGGATAGTTCCAGGATTGCAAGCTTTCGATTCGTTGAGCTTGATAGAACTCCCGCTGCGGACCAACTTTGATAAGCCTCCAACCACAGAAACATGAATTTCGAGAACAGGAACGATCAATATGAAACAACGCATTTAATTTTTTTTTTCGGATAAAGCCAGAGCTTATTTAGGGTATTCAAAGTGGAGCGTCAATGCACGCCAGCAACACTCCTCCGGAGACGCAACCCAAGCAGGTCGTGAGTAGATTCCCCCTGCATTCAATCGCATTCTCACGATCCTTGCCGTTCCTTCTCGTTTTTCCCGTTCGATCTTCTTCGCGGTTTCGCTCCTCTATGTCCGATTCTTGTTGAGCTTCTTGATGGTCATGTTTAGAAACAGTGGTATAGAGATCTCTGAAGGAAATCTTGTCATTGATTTCAAACAGGCACCCGCCATGTTGGATGAGGATCTAGAGCGCGCTCTGGTTGCGCAAAATCCTGCCACTACTACCGATGGCTCGGTGGATTTCCGGGACGCGCCCGCAAGCAAAGCCAAAACCGGAGGATGGAAAGCCGCGCCTCTTATCTTCGGTACGATTTCGCTTCTTGAATCATCCTAGTGATCATCGACCATGACCGAGATCGTCACGAAAAACAGGCATGGAACTATGCGAAAGAATGGCTTCGCTGGGACTCCAGCGGAATCTGGTCACCTATTTCGTGAATGAGATGCACATCGCTATTCCAAAAGCAGCGAACATGGTCTCAAACTTCGTCGGTACATTGTATCTGACCCCTTTTATTGGAGGCTTCTTAGCGGACGCGTATCTTGGTCGGTTCTTGACGATCAACCTCTTTGCATCAGTCCAGTTAGCAGTGAGTACTTGGCAGCGAGTTTGCTTCTTGCGATCACTCACAATTCCGATCCCAGGGAATGGTTCTCTTGACGATTTCAGCTGTGCTCCCATCGCTAAGACCGCCCAAGTGCTCGGATCCTTCTCAAGTTATATGTCCGAGAGCTCATGGCTCACAGATTGCTGTGCTCTTCACAGGACTTTACCTCGTTGCTCTTGGCAACGGAGGCATCAAGCCCAACGTATCCTCCATGGGAGCTGACCAGTTTGACGAGGGAGATCCCCACGAGAGTAAACATATGTCCAGCTTCTTCAACTGGTTCTACTTCATCATCTCTGTGGGATCCTTGATATCGATCACGGTGTTTGTGTACCTCCAGGATAACGTCGGGTTTGGCTGGGGATTTGGCATCCCGTCTGGCTTGTTGGTTGGGGCCATTGTCGTATTTTGCCTGGGTGCTCCTCTGTACAGATACAAGCCACCCAGTGGAAGCTCGCTGACTCGTATTGCTCAGGTCATTGTTGCAGCTTTGACGAAGAAGAATGCGGCATACCCTGCCGATGCTGGGGAGCTGTACGAAGACGAGAAGCCAGATCAGAAAATCGAACACAGTAACCAGTTCCGGTAAGCTTCCAGTTTTGTTTCATGAGTCTCCTCAAAGTTTGTAGCTTGTTTTTCTTTTCTCTGTTGCAGCTTTCTGGATAGAGCAGCCATACTACGGCCAGGAATGTATGAGAAAAGCCCGTGGCATTTATGTACCGTCACCCAGGTTGAGGAAGTGAAGATGGTTTTAAGACTGCTTCCAATATGGGCCACCACGGCGTTCGTATGGACTGCTCTAGCACAGATGGAAACTTTCTCGGTCGAGCAGGGAGCCACCATGCAACGGCGCTTGGGTCCCCGTTTTGTCTTCCCGCCAGCGTCTATGTCCGTTTTCGAGCTCATCAACGTCTTGCTCTTCTTGCCACTCTATGACAAGTTCTTCGTTCCATTCGCAAGAAAGTTCACTGGCCATGAGCAGGGAATAACAGCTCTTCAGAGGATCGGTATTGGAATACTAGCCTCGATACTGTCCATGGTTTCTGCGGCTCTGGTTGAAGCAAGGCGGATTGACACAGCCAGGAAGTATGGTTTCCTGGATAAACCCAAGGCAGTGCTTCCAATTACCATCTTTTGGTTGATCCCGCAGTATTTTCTCCGAGGCACCACTGAAATCTTCACACAAGTCGGCCAGCTTGAATTTTTCTACAAAGAGTCTCCACGGCATATGCGAAGTTTTGGGACTGCGCTCTACCTCAGTACTATAGCAGTCGGTCACTTTCTTAGTACAGCGGTCGTCACTATCGTCAACCGAGTTACAAGCCATGGCGATCACCCTGGTTGGCTTACCAATAACCTCAACAGGAGTAAGTTGAGCAATTTCTACTGGCTTCTGGCTGCTATGAGCTCCGTCAACTTCCTGTTCTATCTTGCCTGTTCCAAGTGGTACAAGTACAAAGAGATTGGTAAATCGAGGCAGCCCCCAGAAACATTGGTCCCGGAGTCCCTCTGAACCAGGTTCACGATTTATTACAAATTTTCCTCCAAGTACCCAAGGAAAAATTAACACGGGATGACAGAGGCCTTTGGTGCTCGATGGTTACTCTGGATTTCCTGTCGTCAATCGTGACACAGTAGCTTAGATATCATCATCACTGACAGTTTTTTAACACCGGCTTGCATACATGGCATAAGAGCGACGCACTGCATGAATCACGTTGGCTGTCTTTTGGTTTTAGTGCCGACCAAATCAAGCTACAAAACGGAGCGGAGTGATTCGCATTGAACATCATCAAAGCTATTCTTTCTGCTTCTTGTTCTTTCAATTGTGAATATGGATACACTCCCTGGCTGCGAGATCCTTGGCTCCGGTTATAATGTCCTGAATGGCTACTATGCCGACGTGAAGAGCTGCCTCAGCAACCTCTTCAACTTTGGGGATGATTACCAAACCGTGGTGGTGGGTTCCAAGAGTTTCTCAATGCCCAAGCCCATCAGCTATCACTCAAGCATCGGCACCTCCGTACAATCCATTTCCGGTAATTCCATCCAGGAGTACAGCAGCAGCCTGAACTCCAAGACAAAGGTTGAAGGCAATTTCCCCTTCTTCTCTTCTTCCATTGAAGCTGACATAGGGGAAGCTTCTGCGAACAGCTTGCTAAATGCATTCAGTAAGGTACAATACCGAGTCGATTTGTACACTCTTCAGCTTCCTCCCTACCATACCGAGTACTTACGCACCAATGCAAAGAAGGACATTGACACCATGAGCGATCTAACTGTGCTCTTTGATACTTACGGTACTCACTACCTCGCTGGGCTGATCATGGGTGGCACCGCAGTCTACACGTCGGTTACGGACAAGACCACCTACAGCTCAGAGTACGACCTCAGCATCGTCGCACAAATGTCTTACAAGAGCGCGGTGAGCAGCATCAGCGCATCGGAGGAGCAACAGTACAAGGAAAGCATCAAGTCATTTCAGGAGTCAAGCCGAATCAGCCTCAACACGACTGGCGGAGACCCCGGTCTCGGGGGAGTACATTTTCCCGACCATGCAGACGATTGGAGCGCCAGTGTTATAAACTACATAGCGTTCATCGACTTCCTTGGTGAACTAAGCCTGGTCGGGATCTGGAAGCTTGCTTCCACCCCAGAGCGAGCACAGGAGATTCTGGACTTCTACCCCACGTACTGTGAGCAGAAGCAGAAGCATTATGGGAGCGATGGTCCAATGCTCCGTGCCAGGATAGTTCCACTTCTGAAACGGCAGTTCAACGACGACGGCAGCGGTGCAAGCAAGGATCTCAGCGTCTGCATTCCAGACATTGGTGGTGGCTGGTATTACCTCGGCCAAGTTGCATTCCCTGGAGGAGACGCCAGGGGTAATACATTGGTGGTTCAAGAGATCTACCCAGGTTCAGGAGCGCTTGTTGAAGTACAGAAATGGGAGAAACTGTGGGATGATACAGGTTCACACAAGAGCAAGAACTTCAACCTCTGGCGTGGCCTTGCATTCGACCCGGTGGACTACGTTGTCTTGAGCGACTTCTTCCGGGGTGGTGTGGACAACCAGGACGCTCCCACAAAGGGGGAGGCAGCTGGTATCAAGGCCGTCTCTGTGAGCTGCGTGGTACCTGCTAAGGTGGGCAGTATGATATGGAACGACATTGGCACACATGCCTCAAATGATGCGTCTGTTTGGAAGATTCTTCCTCCTGACCAGGGTGCCATAGACTCGAGCAAAATTGAGCCTTACTATGTTGCGGTAGGGAGTCACAGCCAGCCCAACCGTCCAGTGTACGTGCTCAAGAAATCGGCCGTCCTTCTTGAGGCCTAGAGTCCACCTATCTAATGCCTGAATAATCGATATCTAATACCTGAATAAGCGAAAGCATTTGCTAAAGATGTTAACCAATGAAATTGATATAGTGGCATCCCTCAGTAAAAAGTTAAATACGACTAGTTCAGTCGTAGTCAACGGTAGGCATAATCTTAACAATCTATTAGGGTTTATGGCTGACTCCACCTGTAAATCTCCGAAATCTCGCGGTTTTCCTTCTCCAATCTCTTGCACGCACAGCGAAGGAGCACGATTTGATGTCATCGTTGTTGGAGGCGGCCATGCCGGCTGAGAATGGGAGCTCGCACATTGCTCTCGATAGGCAGGTAAACAAAGAAATCTCGCGATTTTTATTTATCTTCTTTCTTGTTGCCAATTGTCTATCCTTCCTTGCAGGTGTTATTTGCAAAGGCGAGTGTTGAATCGTTCCAAAGGTCCTGCGGTGTGGGCTTTGCGTGCCCAAACCGACAAGAGGGAGCACGCTAGAGAGATGAAGAAGGTCGTGGAAACGTAAGCGTTTTCTTTTTCTTTCGATCTTTATATGGGATTTATATTGTTCTTGGCTAACTTTCAGAACAGAGAATCTGTTTATCCGGGAGTCTATGGTGACTGAGGTGCTGGTTGGAAGAAACGACGATGTTGAAAGGGTCGGCACCTTCTTCGGCGTTAGTTTCTTTGCACCAGCGGTGGTTCTGACGACCAGGACCCTTATGAATGGAAAGATATGGGTTGGACGCAAATCCATGAGCACAGGGGGAGCGGGCGAGTCGGCATCGCAAGGACTTACGGAGAAGTTTTGGTTTTGAGATCGACAGGCTTAAAACGGGAACTCCCGCAAGGGTAGATGTTTGGACTGTGGATACAAGCAGATTGGAGTCCCAGCCTGGTGACGATGACGTTGAGAGAGACTAGCAGTGTTGCTACATTACACGGACGACGCCAGAGACTCACAAGCTCATCAAGGATAACTTGAAACTCCAACATATGGAGGATGGGTGGAATCGAAAGGCCGCAGATATTGCCCTTCCATCGAAGACAAGGTCAAATATTTATGGTATGAAAGCATGTAAATATTCTGATATTGCTTTGGATTCTAGATTGTCAGATGTAAAGACAAAGACAGCCACCAAATATTTTTAGAGCAACCTTTCCTGACTTAGCCATGCTGCGACCAGCATATGCCGTGGAGTATGAATATTTGCCTGAATGACAAAGAAGATAGAGGGTTTATATTTCAGTGGACAGATAATTGGAACAACTGGATATGAAGAAGCTGCTGCTCAGGTATAGGTGGTGTTCGGGCTGTCGATAAAAATGTGTTGATTACAATGCAGGGTTTTGTAGCAGGTGTTAATTCTACAAGATATTTCTGTAAGAAAAATTCTTTTGTCCCGGAAAGGGAGACGCTCATATATAGGAGCACTAATAGACGACCTGGCAACGTAGAACTGAGAGAGCCACACTTAACTTGCCTTTTTTTAATGCTTTTCAGATGCAGCCGTTCAACAATAGCAAATATCCTTTTAATGTCCATTGAAATGGTGATAATTCTGCACCTACTTGTACACATGTTGCTCTTCATATTCTCATGTTTTAGCAGGGTGATTGATGACGAGATCTGCTGGCAGTGGCTTTATAATATAATATGCCTTATAATGGCAGCAAGGCCAATGTTTCTTAGAATGCTATCTCTTATTTGGTGATCGATTGGTCACCATCTTAGAGTATGGTGTTGTATTAGTCTATAACCATATTCTCTCTACCAGCTTTCATGTGGATTGAACTGAAAATTAAATATTTTATATTGGTGGAATCTTTCTGCAACGAACAAATTTTCAAATATTGGTCGGTCATGCCACATTGGATGGGCATGGATGGGCTGCATGGACCAATCCAACCGTTCATGCCGCAAGCACGGTGGCGAGGGCTGGCTAGATAGTAGGGGATTGTGGGTGGGAAGGGATGAAGAGGGTGTGGGTAAATTGGTGGAAGTAGTTCTTCAGAGATTTTGTGCTCACACACTTCAGCTTCTCCTAAGATTTTTCTTCTCGTTCAGGACATTGCTTCAATGGAGGAAGCGCAACAAATAAAAGTACGCCGTCTACCAAAAAAGAGAGGCTCTAAGGTTCGCCCTGGAAAGCTATTGAGTGGCATACAATCAAAAGCTTGGCAGAGATTATTTACCCTGTGTGGTAAATTTCCTAGGAATTTTTCTGGGATGTCACAGCCCTGGTGGGGGCTTTGGTTCTCATGCTGAAATAAGAATTTTCCAATGTCATAGGTTTGAAAAGAGGATCTGCAAGATGGCGTTTCTGCTTCATATCAGCGGGATATGCTGGAAGAATCCAGCCCCAAACACCGGGTCCACTTTGTAGTGCTGGAGGAACATCAGATGTCAAGAACATTATAAAGCTTGAAAGTGGAATTTTTCAGAGTTATAAATGTTGGCAGGGGAATCAGACACTTTAGTCATGAATTCGTTTCAAGATGATCAAAGTTCTTACGGTAAAGGAGTGATTGAGGTTCCAGATGTTGCATCAAGCTGTTAGATGCATCATTGTTGAAGCTGAGTGCTCCAGTGAGACTACCTATCGCTCATGATTTGATTTGCCTTTAGGCATCCATATTCCTGCCTTTATACTTTCGTTTCATTTGTAATATTATTGTGAGCAAGCAGGACAAATGGCCCAAGTTCGTCTCCCTGGCTAATAGAACTCCATACTGTCAAGTTCTCCCTTCTCCTGGGAAGTAAACCATACTATCACCATGAAGGCGAAAGGCAGTGTTATAGCATGGCACACTCCAGGAGACAGTCAAGAACCAAAAGGTGGCCAATGATCTCACTGTGGAACTTTGGGCGACTTCTTTTCTTTCATGGTTTTGTGTTGTTTTATAGATCGTGTGAGCCATTTGATTCTAGAGCCTGTTATTCAGGATCAGAGGCAGGACAAATTTTAGATTAAAGGGCGCCCCTTAAAGTGCTAGGGTTTATGGCTACGCTACTCGTTCCATGGACACCACGCAATGTCCGGCCCGGCGTCCCTTGGAGCGATGCCAGGCTTTGTGGGAAGCGAAGATCTTCGCTACTGTGCTGCAATGCCAGTGGTAAATCTCCGAAATTTCGCGATTTTCCTTGTCCAATCTCTGGCACGCACAGGGAAGGAGCACAGCTTCGATGTCATCGTTGTTGGAGGCGGCCATGCCGGCTGCGAAGCGGCCCTAGCAGCGGCGAGAATGGGGGCTCGCACATTGATGCTCACACTCAATCTCGATCGAATAGCTTGGCAGGTAGACACAGAAATCTCTCATTTGCATGTAGAAATCTCTCTTGTTAGCCTTGCAATCCTGCTGTTGGTGGCCCGGCGAAATCGCAACTGGTGCACGAAGTGGATGCTCTTGGCGGAGAGATTGGAAAGATCACCGATAAGTATAAGCGATTTTTCTTATATTCTTTCTTGGTGCCGATTGTTTATCCTTCCTTGCAGGTGTTATTTGCAAAAGCGAGTGTTGAATCGTTCCAAAGGTCCTGCGGTGTGGGCTTTGCGTGCTCAAACCGACAAGAGGGAGTACGCTAGAGAGATGAAGAAGGTCGTGGAAACGTAAGCGTTTTCTTTTTCTTTCGAACTTTCTCTATGGGATTTATATTGTTCTTGGCTAACTTTCAGAACAGAGAATCTGTTTATCCGGGAGTCTATGGTGACTGAGGTGCTGGTTGGAAGAAATGACAATGTTGAAGGGGTCGGCACCTTCTTCGGCGTTAGTTTCTTTGCACCGGCGGTGGTTCTGACGACCGGGACGTTTATGAATGGAAAGATATGGGTTGGACGCAAATCCATGAGCGCAGGGAGAGCGGGCGAGTCGGCATCGCAAGGACTTACGGAGAACCTTCAGAGTTTTGGTTTTGAGACCGACAGGCTTAAAACGGGAACTCCCGCAAGGGTAGATGTTCGGACTGTGGATACAAGCAGATTGGAGTCGCAGCCTGGTGACGACGAGGTAAGAATGCTTGTTTTTCCCGTTTTGTTGCAACGTGTTATTGATACTAGGTGAGGTGGTTTAGCTTTGATCCAGCCGCACACGTTGAGAGAGCCCAGCAGTGTTGCTACATTACACGGACGACGCCAGAGACTCACAGGCTCATTAACGAAAATTTACTTGAAACTCCAACATATGGAGGATGGGTGGAATCGAAAGGCCCCAGATATTGCCCTTCCATCGAAGACAAGGTAAAATGTTTATGGTATGAAAGCATATAAATATTCTGATATTGCTTTGAATTCTAGATTGTCAGATTTAAAGACAAAGACAGCCACCAAATATTTCTAGAACCGGAAGGAAGAAGTGTTCCCGAGCTTTATGTCCAGGTTGGAAGATAAGAAAGATGTAGTTTTCTGACATATATTGCTTGAAACCAGGGATTTTCGACTGGATTACCGGAGAGATTGCAGCTAGCTTTACTGCAAACCTTACCTGGCTTAGAACACTGTGCCATGCTGCGACCAGCATATGCCGTGGAGTATGATTATTTGCCTGCAAACCAGTGCTATCCGACGCTAATGACAAAGAAGCTAGAGGGTTTATATTTCAGTGGACAGATAAATGGAACAACTGGATATGAAGAAGCTGCTGCTCAGGTACAGGTGGTGTTCTGGCTGGATATATAAAAATGTGTTGATTACAATGCAGGGTTTCGTAGCAGGTGTTAATGCTGCAAGATATTGCTGCAAGAAGGATTCTTTTGTTCTGGAACGGGAGAGCTCATATATAGGAACACTAATAGACGACCTGGTAACAAAGAACTTAAGAGAGCCATATCGCATGTTAACAAGGCAAGTATGTTTTTTTTTCACTTAACTTGCTTTTAATGCATTTCAAATGCAGCCGTTCAGAACATCGTCTGCTACTTCGGGCAGATAATGCAGATAGTCGTCTTACTCCGGTGGGGAGAGACCTCGGCTTAATCGATGACAGACGGTGGTCTCTTTACCAGGAGAAACAGTCTCGTATTTCTGACGACAAAAAACGTCTACAGACCACTCGATACTGTAAGGACGTTCTTGTTTGCATTTCTTTCTTGTTGTAACAGAACCACTATATGCAGGTTCCGAGAAAATGAACGCAGAGGTTCTGCAGTTATCCGGGCAACCTGTTGATGGTCCAGTTTTGCTAAACATGCTCTTGAAGAGGCCTCATGTCCATTATGAGCTACTGGATAAACATGGCGCTGGAAATCCTTTGCTATCACGGGAAGAGAAGGAATGCGTGGAGATTGATATCAAGTACGAGGGCCTCATAGCTCGTCAAACGATACAGCTTAAACAGGTCATTCTGGTTTTTACCTTTGGTCAACTTCTTCCCTGACTATTTCTTACTACAGATGGCATTAAAGCTGCATAAAGAAATTCCTGATAGTGTTGATTATACCTCAGTCGCGACGTTGTCAAAAGAAGCAAGAGAGAAATTGACACAAGTGAGTCGCTCCAAACCAACTGTGTGCTTATGTGACACTGTCAAATTTCATGCAGATACGACCTCGAAATATTGGACAGGCTTCACGAATTGGTGGAGTAAGGCCATCAGACATATCGTCCTTGCTTGTTCACTTGGACGTGCTGAAACGTGTAGAAGAAACAGTTGCTCAATCAAAGCCACGAGCTTGATCTCTCTTCGGGTACGTGTGAATATTTTTCACACATTGGGACCCAGGCATTCATTTGTCGGTGGATTTGTCTTACTACAATTCTTCATCAAGAAGTTCCTTTTGCTGCTAAAGGTTTGTCTCTAAATGTCAGTTGATCTGTTTTTTAATGTTTTAATATCATCTCAGCTCTCATTTTCGTTTTCGAAGATGCCATTTGTTGCTGGGAGGCGATGTCTTTCGATAACACTTCCATCTTGCCGGCAGTCATCGCAGAACCTATCAACGAAGGCTTCAAAGCTCTCTTCTATGCGTTCTCCAAGTTCTGGTATTTCCAAAGCGAGTCCAGGGAGGTAATTAACGAGTACACTGTTTACAATCGTGTACAGGCACGCATTGAACTCCTCAATGACCAAAAGTCGGACGAATATCAGGCGCTCAAGCTCTTCAGCAACTATTTCAATGACATGGAGCGGCATTTTGAAAATCGCCGCTCAGCTCATCCCAGGTACGATGTGTTTCTCTTACCGCCTGAACCTTGTTGTTTGTTTAGATACATCATGGACACTTTTCGTTTCTACGACGCCAAGTCTAAGGTCGAGAGGTTCCTGCCGATTATAAATGCTCAGCTGGCACTTGAGCAGCAACGGGAACAGCAGCCTTCAGCTTTGACACTCGCGAGAGATATCCAGGCATCAGATTCTCATGTGACTCAACCAAGCTCTTCTTCCGAGATAGACTACCGCTGCCAGCCACCAAGTCTTTCTCAGGGTTTAATCGTTGGTAGAGATGGCGACTTTACGAGGCTCAAGTCCCTGCTGTTAGACATGGGAGGCTCTGAAAGGATTTGTGTTTTTGGCCAGGCCGGCGTAGGAAAAACTCTACTTCTCACTCAGTTGTGTCAAGACACGAAGGTGAGGGGCCACTTTGCTGGGATCGAGTTTGACAACAGAGAGCCTCTAGAGATGCTGATAACTTTGCAAGCAGACATTCTGTCTCGATTGACTGGTAGTGACCGGAGGGTGGGGTCTGTTGGAAACGGGCGACGAGAAATTTTCAACATCATAGCTAGGAGCACACTGAAGAGGTACCTGCTAGTTCTGGACAACGTGTGGAAGCAAAACTGGCTACACATTTGACGGAGGAGATAGGGAGGGGAAACAAGGTGGTAGCCATCACAAGGAACGCAGATATATTGCTGGACGATCACAGGTGGACGGGTGTGACGGTTGGCTCTTTGTCATACGACGATTGCTACAAGCTCTTCTGTGTGCATGCCTTTGGAGAAGACGAGATTTGATGCCGAGCTCGTGAAGAAAATGGTTTGGCAGTGCAGTGGAGTTCCTAATGCGGTAGAGGTGGTGACCAAGTATGCGAGACGAAACAAGCACGGCAGCTGATTGCACGTTTACGAGAAGATGGCTAGGTGGGAACTTAATGACGAGTGGAATGGCGCATTCCAAGTTTTGCAGCTGAGCTTATGGACATGGGGAACGAAGACGCGCAGCTTCTTTTCTTGTCCTTCATCATGATGCGTTACTCGTCAACGATCGACATGTTTCACTTCTGCGGGCTTGTCTACGGTCAACATCACCTTAGGACTATCCGCCTGGATTTTCTCTCGACAGACTTCTGGAGCTTGGTGGATATGTGATGTTCGCTTGTGGGAACATCTCAGGAGCTTGACAAGGCTAGAGTCGCGCTCTGTGATCCGGGACAACAGATGCAAACAGGAAGGTGCTGCTGTGGACCTCAGCTTTGTAGGAAGGATGATGACACCCGCCAAGTGAAGAACTTTCGGCATGTTCGGAGCTTACTACTGCTGAAAGTGCTACGACTTCGTCCATGCGAAGGTGATATATGGACGGACTGGGATTGCGGCCACGTCAAAGAAAGTTTGGAAGTGTTTGATCTTATCCTGGTAGACACACGAGAATTCAGCAGTGATGCCGACGAGTCTCTCAGTGGTTCCAGAATGCTACGGGTGCTACCCCTGAGAAGTCTTCGAGTGACAAGGCTGCCATCGTCTGCGCGACTTCCCGAGTCTCACGCGCCTGCAAATGCCACGAGATGGCTTCCACGCGGCTTTGAAGAGCTTACGAGCTTGAAGGTGCTGGAACTAGACGGGTGTGGAGTGCTAGACGAAGTTCCACGACTGGGCAGGCTTTGCGATCTCCGGGGGCTAGAACTCACGGGCTGTCCCACAATGGAGCGCATCCTAGAAACCATGACTTCACAATAATCACAACAAGGAGGCGGCGACCAGGAACTTAAAATATCGGACTGCCGGGACTTTGCTCGCTTCCAGACCAAAGTTGACGAGTTACAGGTATGTTCTCTGAGCTTTCTATATCCGGTTGTGGAATCGAACCGACTTGGGAGTCTGCCGCTGAACAGATTATACATTTCAGGGTGTGAAAAGCTGCGCAGCATTTCAGAGAGCATTCCTACGCTCGAAAGTTTCTCGCTGGACAGGCTGCCACTTTTGCTGGAGATTGGAGGAACATCCTGGGCGAAGCTGAAAAAGCTGCACGTCTCAAGCTGCGAGAAGCTACACAAACTTTCGTCTCCCTCGACATGAAAAGCTCTCGCTAAAAGGCTTGCCATCTTTGCTGGGGATGGACGTGCTCGAGAAGCTGGGGGCCTCAGGTTGGAGGAGATGGCAAATCTCTCCTCGAGGGTGATGAAAAAACTGAGTATTTCGGAGTGTGACAAGCTGCACAAGATTCCAGCTATTTCTCCTGGGGAGATTGGAGACATGTCTACGGTGGAAAAGCTTGAGATGGTGGTCATATCCGGTTGCCAGAGGCTACTCAGTGTTCCAGCGAAGTTCACGTCTTCCCAGCTTGTGCTCAAGAACTTACCATCCTTGGTGGAGATTGGCGACGAAAGTTTCGGCGATATCCAGAAGGTTAGCATCTCACACTGCGAGAAGCTTCCCAGAGTTCCTCTTATTCCAGGCTCCGGCTGAGCAACTTACCATCGCTGCTCGAGATTGCCGAGAGTTCGCCGGTGGCAATGCATGTCTCGTATTGCGAGAAGTTGCCACGAGTTCCTCCCATGCGGGGGATCCAGCGGCTTTTCCTGATGGATCTACCATCTTTGGTCGAGATTGGCGAAGGTTGTATGGCCACGCTCGATCGGCTGGAGGTTTCAGGTTGCAAGAAGCTGGACAAACGTCCTTACGCTGGTCTTCTTCTACTTTCATCACGGAACGATATCCAAATGATGATGAAGAGCGATAAAAAAACACGGAAGATCTTTAGCACGAGATTACAGATTGCAAATGTTTATGCGTTTTGCAGCAAGCACGAAGGAGCAAAAGTCAGCAAGTTAGGCTCCACTATAAAATCATGGGCGTAAATTTCACCCAAAAGCTGACACGAGAAAGAGGAGCACTCGCCTGCGCCTGTGCCCAGTCCACACCACCACACGGCAAAAGTTTCGTTCCGAGTTGCTGTTTGACAAGTCTTTGCAAAGTGTGTGTAGTGAAATCAATATAGACGGTGGAGTACGTGGTTCCATGCAATGACTTTAATTTCCATTTTACGCCAGGTGGTGTAATGCCGGTATATGGTCAAGCCAGGAAAAAAGAAAAGGAGATATACACAGACGCGTCATGTATGCAAAAACAGGATGGCTGAAGTGAGAGGTGCTTTGATTCTTTGCCAGTACTAGAGAAAGAGGTGAAGCTTCTTCTCGTTTTTGTCTGGAGGAGCTGTGCTTGGTACGCGTCTCTTGCAAAAGGACTAGAAACCAAAAGAGCTTTGTCACTGTCAGCGGGGTGTGTTGAATTACAAGCCAAGTCCTGGATGAACACAGATCCGGCAGCAGCAGCAGCAGGCGCAGCAGTGCTCAGTCCGTGTAATGAAGCTGAAATGGAAAAAGCTTGCCAAATGCTGCTGTGCGTGTACAGCGAGAGAACAGTTCCCCAAAACCACGCTCCTTGTTCCATTCGGAAGCGTGGAGAGATTAGCTACAAGAGGAAGAGACCAAGAAGCAAGAGTGATATTCCCAGGGCCCTGTACCAGTGCGAATAATTACGGGTGTCTTTCAGTATTCTATGTGAGTCATCTGCGTACACAGCATCACCACGCAGGGCGATCAGGCAAGAAAATGTGTGCTTGCAATCGCTCATCCTCACGGGATCTTATATTATTCTGAAAGGTGGTACAGAGTTTCTGTTTTTTCTTTCTAGAAAATCAAATTGAAACAGATAGCTAGAGTCCGACTGCGACCCGAAAAAGACCCCGCTCTCCCTCTCTCTCTAGTTCTCGTGAATCCGCCGTGCTTAATGAGCACACGGCTTACATCACGGGAATTCAAGTGATGGAAACTTGCCCCACCCATTTTTTTCTGAGAAGCAGCAGCAACAAGTCCCACTCAAAACACCCAGTAAAGGAAGACGACTCGGGTGGTGCTATCTATCTTTCAATCCATCCATCGCTTTCTCACACACAATCTCCACGCAGGCAGACGCCGTCTGGAGCGTAGTGCATCGTTTCCTAGGCTGCAGAAAGAGAATCAGAAAACGATAAGCTATTTACTATACTATATAGCCTCTGTATGCATACCTCTTTCTAAGTTGATCCTAAACCAGTAAGAGTTTCCGTTTCCAATCTTTTCGCTTGTTTGTCTCTTAAAAACTGGGGTGACATCCTCGTGCGTCTGACCAGGGATCACGTAATGCAAATGGTACGACATGACAAAACAGACCATAGTGTTGTATAATAAATTCAAATACTATATTGATATTTCTATGAAAGGAAATAGATTTTTATGAGTGGTCCAGGCCTCACAGCTTTCCAGGCTCTCAACTTCACGTCTCGAGCTCTCGCCTGTGCACGGGTAGTGTGTCAAGACCCAGTGCATAGAGAATTACTTGTGATGGGGCGTGGCTTCTACTCAACTGACAACGATGATAGGAAGAAAAGGTGGCGGTGGTGGTGGTAGCCATCGCCAGTTGGCTTGACAAGGTTCTTTATCATCAAGAGAACAATTCCATGATCCATTTGGACGAGAAAGAGAGAGAGAGAGAGAGAGGGTCCCTCAAGTTTCATTAAAGCTACGCTAGGCCGGGCGGGAGAGGGGGGCGAGCCAAAGAAACGCAAAGCAAACAAAGCCAGAGAGTAGACGCGAGAGAAGGAAACAAACAAACAAGGGATGATCAGCGCATCGTTTCCCACAGGGACCACAGCTTTCTTCATTTGGTTTTTTTACGTGGAGAGAATGGTGCCATTACCTTTTTACAAAGATTTTATTTTATTTTTTTACTTGTGCTTTTTGCTGTTGACGGATCAGCTTTCAATGAATCCCTTTTTTTGTATCGACTCTTACTTTGTTCAGGCCTGTAGGTGGCAGATTGTTGTGTGCTACGGAACCAAACCACGCCTCAATAAGAATTGATAGCAAAGTACTACAAGGATTTGTTTTTGTTTTCTTACTGTTTTCTTTTTCCCTTTTTAATAAAAAAAGAAGAAAATTTATAATAGGGGGACATGGGAAGTTCTCGTATGCATTCAATGACTTCTCCTATCTAGCTACTTTGGATGTGAGCGATGTGTCGGACCGAAAAGAACCCAGGGATTCCAGACGTGGACTCGGGCCTCTCTTTTACTCTAATGTTTCTGAAAGAGAGATGCACGAAGCAACTTGCTTAGATCAATGTTCAATTCGCCCTCGATTGCAACATGTGAAGGAGTTCTCCACTAAGTTGCGGACACATTCAAGGATTTCTTTTTCCCACAACCTTTTTTTCTCGCTTTTTTATTTATTATTATTTATTATTCCGGGTCACGGTCTGCAACTGTGAGCTTATACGTGAGGAGGAAATCGCCAGCAAACTTCCCATGACATTTCTTCGTGTGCTGTTGTTGTTTTCACGAAGATGTTGCTGGTGCTGCTTTGGCTTGCTGGTCCCGGCTGGCTAGTCAGGATTGGATCCACTTAACTTAATTACTGGGATTTCGATCCAAGCAATGGAGAAGCGACACAAAATCCCACCCAACTTGTCTAGACAATGAAGTTGCTGTCAATCACACAAGTTGAGGTTGCTTTAACTAGGATCAAGAATCACAAAGGGGGGAGGAAAGAAAAAGAGGGCAAATGAAGACCTCCAGTGTCACAACAAGAGCATGAATCCATTCATTTTCCTCAGTTAGAGGATTATAGTTTAGTAGCTCCTAGCACACCACCAGCATAACTTGTCAAGATCACTTTGGGGGCAAAAATAAATTGGACAGATACCACCAACACTTCCTTAGTGATATTCTATACATAAGTTGGAAGCATAGGACCATGGGGGCGCTGCAAGACCCTGTATACAATATATGAATGGATGAATGAATATGCAAATAAAGTGGTAGTACATGAGAATAATAATCACACACACCACACCCACACACATCACACACACACACACAAAGTCTTACAGGCAGCAGCAAGCACTAAGACAGGAATAAAAAATTTTCTATAATGCAAGCCACAAAGAAAGTGCAAAGCTACCTAATACTCAAAAAAAGCATCAACCTACACACACCAACACACACAAGCGCACACACCCACACACACACTCTAGCCAGCAAAAGCAGAGAAAGTTGTGTACCGTGCCAATACTTACACATGACTCTTATGTATCTTGGACCCAAAGATATGCCACAGATTGAGGGTGATCCCACTATATGTTTGAAGTTGGTGGTGGATGTGATAATGCAGGGCATGCTGCTTGCTTTGCTCATGCCTCTGGCATGAACAACAGCAATAGCAGCACCACCAACAGTTAATTTATAGAGTTTAAGTTTTGCATTTTCGTGAGCTGCTACAAACAAGACCTAGAGTTTTCTAATGACTTTTTTTCTTTTTTCTAGATAAACAGCTATATGCATAAATTTCTTGGTTCCAGAACCCCCCAGTGCAAGGAAGCAACAGCAGCAGTGTCAGCAAAAGTAGCAAGTGTAGGGCAGCATCAATGATTTATTCTCAAAGGAGTGTGTCAGTCCAGGAGGGGGGCCAGAGCCAGGCCAGGATCTGAAAGCAGGAGAGTACAGTGGTGTGAGGGGAACAAGTGTAGCACTGGCATTGTCTTCTGTGTACGAACTGTTGACAGACAGCCTGATTTATGCATTTTTGGAAAAGCTTACAATTTCTTTTCCATTATTATATTTATGAGATTTCAGGAACTGGATAGCAGCACATTGATCCATGAGGATCCTTCTTGACAGTTGCTTGTATAGGGAAACTGAAAAATTAAAAGAAAAATAAAATAAAAATAAAGAAAAGATGGAAAGGAATTGGCCTCATTTGACAGGAAGAAGATGGGACCCTACAGAATCCAATTTACTTTTTTGGCCCACTACAAGACCAAGGTATAGCAGTCCAGATTTTCAACTTAAAATGTGAGCCAAATGATTTTGCCCTGCATTTAAAGCAGCGGCACAGGAGAATAGTTCCTTTCACAAGGAACAAGTCTCCCAATCCAATCCCTTTCTTGCCTTTTCCTTGTATGTTTTTGGTATGGAATGGTAAATGTAAATAGCTTTGGACTGCAGTGGAGGGACCTCTGTGTTTGTGTTGTGGATTGGATTGCCCTGTTGCTGAAAACAGGAGCAGAAGAAACAGGAGCAGCAGCAGCAGCAGCAGCAGCAGGACCTTCAACCTACTCCTTCAAACCCCACCAACAAAGAACCAAGAAAGAAAACCAAAAGTAAACAAGAGGAGAGTCCACGAAGGCACAGAAAGTTTCTACCTAGGATTAGGAGTAGGATGCCATTCCTGCTTGTCAATGTATTGCTTTGGCATTGCACAATCTGCTGCACTCCCACCCAGACCCTACCCAACATGGAATATGGAACCTCACCACTCAGTCCATTCTGCATCCACTGCTCAATAATGCTGGACACTACCAGCCTGGTTTTGGAATTTTCTCTTTTTTCACAATGTTTGAGTCCCATGTGGCAGACACGTGGTGCTGATGCTGGCTGCCACATAGGAGTCCGGAATTAAATATATATATATATAGCACAACACAATCTGTCTTCTCTGCACAACACCTTTCTCAATTTGGATCTCAGCTCTAGCCAGCATCAATGGTCGCCATTCATAAATGTTAGATTCCTCGCAATCCAAACGGTTTCCTCCGCTCTTTGTTTCCTGGGAGATCGTCTCCTCCACCACCCGGGCCTTGGTGGTTTTTTTGCTTTTAAAGTGATGTCACAGCCGACTAGTGGTGGTGTCGCTGCCCATTCAATTCACTCCATTCCAGTTCTTACCCAGTGCCCCATTTTTTTAATTTCTCTCCCTTTCCTTCCTGTCGAGAGGGCCGCTGCAAATTTTCTTTCCCTTTCTCTCTGGCCATACAAGTCCATTCGTCCAGACCTAGACCCAGACCCAGCTCGATTGATTGGTTTGACAAATGCAGCAAGAAAACAAAGGCGCTCTTGGGCAGCAGCAGCTTTCACTCAATCTCTCACTCACGCTCGCTCACACTCACAATGAAACTTGGAGCTCCCTCCCCACTGGGTGCTCTGTGGC